ATGATCGATCCCTATTACGATAGGTACACATGCAGCTTTTAGTCCAGACCAAGGCCCTATATACTGTCCAGACCAATAGGTACTCCATGGCGTTTTTGATAACTTTGTACCCCATCATCATCATGGATTTGGACTTGGCACAAATGCAAGTCATTCTAAGTTATTAAGCTCACAAAATACAACATTTTACATGTATGTTTATTTCATGTACGTTGTCTACAGGACCACGTAAGCACATAATTTGTTGAGCATAACACAGCAATGTACCAGTACAAGTATCAGTCCTGGTAGTTGTTCATCACGGCTGGTGGATGTTATGCAGGATATTTGGCTCTTCGATCCTCATTTTGCTGTGCATTGTACTTGTAGTTTTTGCCCTGACTTGGGTTGGGCCCCTGGGCTGGGATGCAGTTATTGCAGAAGCTGTGTTTCCACTGGGTACCTGTAACACAAGGGAGTATGGACAGTTCATTGTCAAATTTCACACCCTTTTATTTGTGTGGGACGCGTAGTCATTGGAGTACAAAAATTGTCATTTTCCAGTGGAGTACAAAATTCCTGGCGCATCTGATACCAGAAAACGGCAACTTTTCCAACACTGGTCTGCCGGGCTCAGGGGTCACGGGCGGGACACCGGCGGGCGGCGGTCGGTCGCGTGGGCCGCCGAGGCCGCTGTCACACGGCATAAATCAGCAGTTTGTATACGCTGTTTGTGCGGACCGATAAACGGCGATAAGTCGTGGGTGGATTGTGCCGGCCCCCGGCTATCACGGCGCCGCCTTACGACGTCCGAGCCACAGCGCCCCGGGCGTGTTTGGACGGTATTTGTTAAACATGTGGAGAGCCATATCCATGAAGGAAAGTGACAGCTTTCACTGAGTGTCGATGGCTGGCGGGAAAGTACCCGCACGGTTTTTAGCATTTCAGTTGCTTACGGAGTTCATCAGAGTGCTAAAGAATTGATTAATGCTGACTAGCATCATTAACCCGCGCCCTGCTGGGGGGGGGGGTGTTTGAACACCCCCCCTTGTGGTTTTTCGCGAATATCTCAAAAACGGCGGCGCGGAGCGCCGCCGTTTTTGGTACACCTTATCATACATCAATTCTACACATGTTGTGAAAATTTCAGACCAAGGTCATTCAAGGTCAGGTCACCAGGTCACTTGAAGTGACCTCACCTCATAAAAACTTTCAATGTCTGTCATAGCTACACCGAGTGACCGATCGCTTTGAAACTTTCAGCGATTGCTAAGAGCAATAGCATGTACAAAATGTATATCTCAGAATTTTGATATCGATGACCTAAGGTCAGGTCAATTTTGCGACCTCCCCATTATAAGTCAATGGGAGAAAATTGAAATGCGCCTCTTTTGGATGAAAGACATTATACACACTCCCAAACACCGAATTACAAGTGGTTTAGACACACTGAACTTGAAAATGGTGTCCGTGACCCTTGTTTATGCCCTGAGGTCATCTTAGGTCACAAATGGTATCTAACAGTTTTTCGCAAATAACTTTTGATAGAGGCATGCTAGAGCGATGAAAACGCCTTAGATGTGTTCAGCTCGACGATACGGATCGACTGATATGCAACATGACCCTTTCCGGTCAGGTCATGACCTTGACCTGAGGTCAAATTTTCAAGTTGACCTTTCAAGGTCAAGTTATAGTTCATTCGATGCGTCTTGACGAGAGGAACACGATGCCGGTAAAAGTAAGCTCGTACAAGGCTTGGGTCAAAAGTTATTGCAGAAAAACTGTTTTCGAAAATATCGGCTATTTTTGCAGTTTTTGCCCCCTGCAGGCAAAACCGTTGACCTTAGGTCAAATCTGAGAGAATTACTCAGAAAGAGCGTTAATAGGGCTATCGAATGCGCTTTTCCGCGGCGCTGTAGCTCTATTGGTTCCCGAGTTATGCGTTGGCTTCTTGGAAATTTTCGACATTCGACCTGGAAATCGGCGAAATTTTGCCTTCAATGACCTCTGGTGACCTGACCTTTGACCTGACCAAAAAATTGACCGAAGTGATTTCGTTATTATTTTTTACGCTCTTTCGAACGCCGCCTTCCGCGTATCGCTACGTGGCCCAGGAGCCGAGTTACAAGGGGGGGTGTTCAAACACCCCCCCCCCCCCCCAGCAGGGCGTGGAAATCCAGGACCCCCAGCAGGGCGCGGGTTAACGTATCATAATGTGGAATGTGGATGATTAATGTATCAGCGAAACCCGACCGGGTCCTAATTTCTGTTGGCTGTGGGATAATCCATCGGTCGGTGTTCGGTGGCTTCACTCGGAGTGTTATCCTGCCCTCAGTGCAGCGGTGTCGGTGTCGCGACCACCGGGCCAGCTCCGCCTCTCCAAAGACCGGCTCACTCATTCAGCCAATTGGCGACAAAAAGCTCCCGAGGCCGCCCGCGCTGGTTAACGGTTACAGAGGCGGGCGCGGAGGGCCCTCCGCTGCATGAGCCCCGTGAGACACGCCGCCGGCGCGGGCCCCGCGCCGCCGCCGCCGCCGCGAGACAGTTGACTTTACCGTCCGACGGCGCCGTCTGCGGCGCTGTGTTTACGAGCCGGCAGAGTCACGGCGCAGTGACGGCTGCGCAGCGGCGCACCGTTACGCCCGCCTCGCGTCACGGCTCACACGCCGCTGTTCGTCACGCCGGGGTGTCACGTCACGGCAGGTGTGACGCCGTGATGAGATACCGGGCCGTGATGCGGCCGTGGGAAGCGGCGCGGACGCCCGTCCGGTCTGGTTGCATCAGCGGCGTGAGTGGCGTTTCCTGACGGCGTGGCTCAGATGCCGCGATAGGTGACCGGACGCCCAGATCCGAGATAGGACCGTGAGTGGAGACAACTCTGGAGAGACGGGTCGCGCACAGTGACATTGCTGTGCATACCTGAGTTTGTGTTGCCGCATTTGTGAGCTGTGTCGTCGGCTGAACGATACGGATGGTCTAAAAATATGGTCTAGTTTAAAATGTGTCTGCATTCAGGAAATCCGTCAGGTTTAGGCTAAAAACGGCAGATCGGCTTGATACACTTATTTTTCTGAATTTCATTTACATTTAGTTGCGATATTCTCTGCACAGAGCTGGGTTCAGGCGCCGTTCCGCGCGGCTGGTCTTACGGTGGAGTTGCTGCGCCGGGGTGTGGTCTGTGTGCCGGTCACAGACCCCGCCCCGCCCCGTGGGCCGCCGGCCATGACCGCCGGGTCGGCGGGGAGGGGCGCCCGGCGGCGCGTGGTCGACCGGCGCCCCGACCCGGTGTAAACATAGTGAGATCAGCCGAGCACTGCGGTCGGCCGCCGCTGGCCCGCCGCCCACACCGGGACGACCCGAGCACAGGGCACGCAGGGTCTGTGTGTGAGGAGGTAGCGGGGTCAGAGGATGGGGTCTCGAGACGATGAAAGAGAGTTGATGGACGTGGGAGCTGAAGGCGTTGGAGAAACGCTGCTGGCAAGGTGCTTTGTTGAATGTTGATTGTATGGTTCATAGACTGGAGTAGACCGAAGCACAGATCAGTGTTCGGTCTTTGCCCTTGTATGGATATGGGCCTGCCTGTAGTCCGCATTGGTTATCGTTGTCGGCTCGTTTCTCCGTTTGTTCCTCGCCAGGAAATGGTCGTTTGTGTCGATCGGTGACGCTAACAGCTCCCGGCTGGCTCAGTGAGCTGCTGCTCCGCCGTCCGGTGGTGGTTTGAGCTCGCCGGTCCGACCGCTGCACACAGCTCTCCTCTGATACCATCTCTGCCCGCGTACCGCCTCCCCACCGACCACGCCCGACAAAAACACGCCGGGCACCGCTCACCTCTGTACCGCCTTCCTTCCGCGGCCGATCGAGCGGGTGGTGGGAGTGTCACCGGAGCCACTCGATACCCACCGGCATAGCCAGATCGGCTTTCGATCGGCTACCGGCTGTCGCTAAGGAATTGGTGGCGTTTGGCAGCAAAAACGCCAGCCTGTGACCCCGTGTCGGCCTAACGTGTTCACAGGGAGCCGTTCAGAGTTTGTGCGCTGTGTGCGGAAGTCAGAGCGTAGGAGGCGAACAGGTTTATGTGTGGAGCTGGGAGCAGACTGACACTGACTGACGAGGCCAGTCGGCGATTCATTCACTCGCACCTGTTTGAGGATTGATGATTCTTAATTACCGTGAAGTTCAGCCTGAGTGTGGGTGTTATCAGCCATGAGTGTCTCATACGTCGTGCGTCACACTGTACCGGTTAGCTGTCTAATATGTCGGCCATTCCTGCCCTCCACACCGCCGACTTGATCCGGGTTACACCGCCCACGTCATCCCATGCAAGTGCCGGGCTGACTAATGTCCATTTCCTGTCTGCACTGGAGACGGTTCCGTTCTCGGGCGACTTGCATGACCCATTTTGACCCACGGAATGAACTGCCGGACTTGGCGGGGAGGATGTTTGTAGTTGGTTACAAAGAACAGAGTAGAACCGAGCACGACAGGACATTGAACAGCGAGTGAACTCGCCGCCCTGTGTGCCCGGCCGGCTCCACCGCCGTCTCTGTTGGCTCAGTGCGCGCCGGGCCGGTATTGGGCCGTGTGGCGCTCTCCTGACCACTGCCTGTTTGTTAGAGGGACCGGGGACCCCGGCCTCGGCTCTCACTATTTGCATCGGCCGTGGCTGCGCGGCGCGGCGCGGCGCGCTCCCTGTGCCCCGGCGGCCGGCGGCACAAGGCCGGGCGCCCCTCCTCCGCCGGCTGCGGGCCCGCCGAGGTCGAGGTCGCCGCAGCGCGCTGTTCCGGCCTGGGCCCGCGCTGTATCTCGGTGTATGGAGGAAAACAGCATCCGCCTCCTCGGATTGGGCAAAAGATGGCACTAGGCTTATGACCCAGGACGTAGAATAACTATGGCTGCGTTCCAGCTTAAGAGAAAGAGATTTTGATCGTGTTGTGGGGTTAACACTGAGGTTAAAGTCATGTTTATGAGTTAACACTAAGGTTTTGTGTTCTGTGACTAACATGGTTTTCGTTTTGTTTCAGAGTGAAGTTCGGCCTTCCGCTGGATCAAGTATGCAAGAACGACATTCCTGGTCCTCTGCTGGTGAGTCTGTCCGACTGGGTCCCTCAGCTCCCGGCTGTGTGTGTCGCCTGTCGCACGTTCCCCGGTTGCACAAACTGAGGACCGATGCCGGAACCGGCGCCGCGGCTGCGCGGCTAGCCCCACCCCGGATGTGCGCGGCGCTGAACTATCTAATCTGACTATGGGGCCGCTGTGGTGTGGTGAGCACTGTGCCGAGCCCGGCCTTCCCACGGCGGGCAGAGGGAGGCCGCCGCTGTGCTGGCGCAACTGCACTGCAATGCAGAGTAATGAGACCTGGTGTTGTACTCGTTACACAACCTATGGCCTGTGATTATTGGACCTAACCCCCAGGGTGGCCTGTTGTGTTTGGCAACCGGCAGGGGAGACGACACGCGACCACTAAATGCGACCTGTGAACAGGCTGTCGGTTACTTTCTTTCCATATGAACGTCTGACAAAAGCCATCGGCCATCCCAGCTTGCTTTCCTGTGACAAACCATCGGGAATGTCACTGTTCGTCATCGGGGTTTTCTCACTGGTATTATGTAACACGCTGTGCTGTTCTACTCCAGGTACTGATTCTGAAGCTGAACAAGGAGGCGCCGTTCCGGAAAGATGTGTTCCGGGCGCCGGGCCACCAGGCCAACATGAAGAAACTGGTGCATTTCCTACAGAACGGCCGGCTCGTCAACCTAGATAATTTTAGGTGAGCCTCACAGGATGTGCCAGCTGTTGTACCCGGACTTTCTGAACTTGTTTGACCAAGTTGTGAAGTTTGCAATGCGTGTAAATAGTTCGTTTTCCCATAATAAAACTACGAAGAGTTTGCATTTTCCTTAGAACTTCCTTATGCGAATGCGGATCCGCATACTTCTTTGTCCAATCTAGAATCGCTTTATTTCCGGCACACATTTGCGGAGTTTCTGTGATCGTGAGACCCACTGTGCTAGATCCAATATGATGATTTCCCAGGGAGTTGTACTAGTTTTATTTTGATATGCACCAACTCCCATGTTCAATGAGTTACATGTTTCCCGTCTTTTCCTTTGTATCCTGTAACACACCTCGCCTTGTTTCAGCATATACACGATCGCGTCTGTTCTGAAGAAGTTCTTGCGGAAGATTCCGGACGGCATTTTCGGCCCGGAGAATGAGCAGCAGCTGTTCCAGACGATCGAGCTGGACGACCCCGAGCAGCAGCGGGACGACATTCACAGGTACGGAACGAGGGACGGGGTCCACAGCGGGACGACATTCACAGGTACGGAACGAGGGACGGGGTCCACAGCGGGACGACATTCACAGGTACGGAACGAGGGACGGGGTCCACAGCGGGACGACATTCACAGGTACGGAACGAGGGACGGGGTCCACAGCGGGACGACATTCACAGGTACGGAACGAGGGACGGGGTCCACAGCGGGACGACATTCACAGGTACGGAACGAGGGACGGGGTCCACAGCGGGACGACATTCACAGGTATTGGGACAGCCCGCGGTGGCAGGAACCAGAAGCGCTGTCAACATCCTCTCTCTTACTGAACTACAAGAGTGGGTTATGTTGAGATGGGGGTGCGCGTTAGGTTATGTAATAACTATCTTTGATCGACACGATCTTGTGGTGTAGGCGAAGCCCTATCAACGGCGCGGAATAAAAGAAAAAAATGATATTGTTTCAAGCCGGAGAAGGGGCCGCTGCCTGCTATTTCTGGCTGTCTTATTTCGCATCCCCGTCACATTGATGCTATGTTACAAGAAGCTATTCTTGCTGCCGAGTGTCTGTGATATCCCGAATGCCTTGTTGCCTGATCGACGTCCATGTAACCGAGACGGGTGGTTCGTTACCTCTGTCGTAATCACCGCTCCTCTGAGCTGGATGTGGAATAGTTTCGCGGGGTGTCGGACGTCCAACCAACCCTGCATCTTCTGCGAGTGATCCTCTGATCTCCTGGCGTCTGACAGACAGACGGCTGACAGACAGACACAGAGACTGACGGACGGACAGACGGACACAGGGCCGACTGGCGGTGACGCAACATCAGCGGGGGGAGGGGCTGCTAAACTGCCGGCCGGGCCGAGCGGCGCTGTTCTGCAGTCTGCGGTCGCCACCGGTCTGATGTATGGCCGGCCGGCTGGCGTCTGGCGACGCCGGGTCCGGTCTGGCCGGGATCGGGGCCTGAATCTAACCCGGTCTGGCCGGGATCGGGGTCTGAATCTAACCCGGTCTGGTCAGGACTGGGGTCTGACTACAGCCCGGTCCAGGCAGGACCAGAGTCTGACTACAGTCCAGCCGGGGCAGGACCGGGGTCTGACTCCAGTTCGGTCTGCCCAGGGCCGGGGTCTGACTACAGTCCAGTCTGGCCAGGACCGGGGTCTGACTCCAGTTCGGTCTGGCCAGGACTCGGGTCTGACTTTAGTCCGGTGTGGTCTGGTCTGGTCTGACTACAATCCGGTCTAGGCAGGTTTGACGTCAGCTCAGTTGGGCTCGGATCGGGCTGAGCCGGCGCTAGGCCTGGGTGGGCTGGTCGTGTTGGGTAGGGGTGACCGTGAGTCCGTGGGCATTGCAATACTGGTCGGGATTAGCCTGTATCCAGCTATTGCGGTGAAGGCGGGTAAACACTGAACAGCAGTTGTGGTGTATGCGCCATGCGTCCCCTTTGAACCCGTCCCGTCTGTGGCGGCGGATTAGCCGCTGCAGAGAAGCCCAACAGAATGGCCACTGCAGACTAGCGGCCGCAGGGTAGCCACCGCCGCAATGTGACGGACGCCTGTCACACCGGCTCGGTCCCGGGGTCCGTCCCTGTTCTCACTGTCGTGCTGCTCTGACGCACAACAGTACACAGGGAGCACGTCGTACGACTGAACAGATGGGAAACGGGTAAATAGAGGCGAGAAGGAAGTCTGACTATCCGCGGGAGCTTGACGATCTGCGCAGTGCCGGGTCAATCGTGGAGTGTGCTATCGCTTAGTGTTGGCACTTGGCAGTCAGTTGTGATAAGGAAATCCACCCTTGACAGGCGATAGCCGTTTGTAACACCAAAAGAAAGAAGGGGTATTATGGTGTTACGGTGCGATAGGCGATAATCCGTGGCTTGTGATAACACACGGATTACTTGATGGAGACACTTGGGCTGGTCAAGTGTTTTCGTCGATGCTAGGGAAGAGGTTCGGGTGTCATTGCTACGCCATGTCCCATCTCGTAAACAGCGGTGCTGGCCCACCGCTTGGGACGAAATCACCAATCACTCGACGATGGCCACGCTCTTCAGTTTGATATTTTACCGCAGCTTTGTGTTATTATTCGGCTGGGACTTCAGACCGAGACCCGAAAAGCTTTTTGAGATAATGATCCCGTTCAGGATTCAGATAGTCATCGTCTCGATTTTTAGAACTCTCGTAATCCCTCAGCTTCACGCGTGGGACGCTCTGAAAACAAAGTAGCCGTGTCCGCCGATTGTTTGGTGGTGTGCGACGGTTCATCGATTGTTTTCTCTAAAAGCCACCCGCGCCTATCATTTCCTGGTTGTCAGTGTGTTCGGTACCCGCGTCACTGTCTCCCCTCGACTCCAGCCCACCACATTAGCGTGCGCTGCTTGCTCCCAAACCACGCCTCTGTGTGGTCACCTGATGTGACTGCGCCCTCGTGTGACATCCCCTCTGACTCAACCGACATGATGGTGCTCTCCGCTCCTGTCAGGCCACGCCCCTTCCCCTGTGACATCAACTCACGCCTCTGTGACCTGTGACCTCTAACCTGGTTGTCCTCCCTCAGGTTAATCACCTCCTTGCCGGTGTACACTGTACACCCAGCACCTGTGACCTGTGACCTCTATGTGATGTGACCTGTGACCTCTCTGTGACCTGTGACCCTGTCCCCCCTCAGGTTAATCACCTCACTACCAGTATACACCCAGCACCTACTGGTACTCCTTTTCGGCACGTTCCGAGTGATCGCCACCAACGCCGAGCGCGCGCGCACCGGCATGACCTCTGAGGCGCTGGGCGTGAGCGTGGCGCCCTCGTTCTTCCAGAGCTGCGTCAGCGACGGCCGAGAGGCGCGCCACGAGGACGTGCAGCGCTTCAAGGTAGGCGCCGCGCCGGCCCAGAGCGAGGCGAGGCATGGCTCGTACTCTGAGCTGCTGCGTACCTGACGGGACGGTCTCTAGAGTGGAGGCTGAGGGGCGGGGTTGTGGGTTTCTATTTTCGCTGTCTGGCTTTTGGTGCACAAAGTCGTTTGATGAGCACACCGCGTGTCGTTCGGGACCCGGCGCTAGTGCCCTGATATTTTCTCACGCGTAGAGTAGGCGTGCGTGTGACGGGCTGCTGGCGTGGCCTGGCGTCACCGGCGGGTGGTAGTAGGACGCGCCTGTCCCGCCGGCCGGACCCGAACTCACCGCGCCGCTCTCCCCCCGCCACCTGCGCTCGGCGCCTGTCTAGGAGGAGGTCACTGTGAGTACTGCCCTCCGCACGGCGGCCCGCCTCCGTCACTGGGGGGAGGGGTACACACGTGCATGGCGCCAGGGCGCTGAGAGTCGTCAGTGGCCGACCGAGCTACCTACCCCCGGGCCGCATGAACAGTGTAGTTTAGATACCCGGCCGACGCGCTGCCTGATACGTGTAGTTATGAATGCGCGCGCTTGGAATGAGGAGAGCCCCAGGGTGGTTAGTTCTGGGGGCTGGGTTTATGTTTAAATGAGACTGTTCAGTGTTTTCTCGACCGCTGGAGACTTCTTCGAGCTCTCCTCAACATTGAATTCTTGTTTGTTGTTGCTGTTTTTTTGTTTTTTTTTTTGTTTTTTGTTTTTGAAAGCCTTACCTTGTTTATGATTGTATGTGGGGTGTAAGGGACGCTGGCGGATGCGTAGGTTTCAATGTTGGGTCACTGTCTTGTGTTCGATGTGACGATTCAAGTGTTCAATGCTCGCACTGGATCGTGGTCTTGATGCTGCCATCTATCGACCACGTTCAAACTAACACCTGACGGCTGTCCGACAGGTGGCGATGAGGATCATGAAGTTCCTCATCGACAATTTCGGCGTGAGTAACCTGTTCGGTCGGGACAACTACGAGTACTACGCGCGCATTACGGGCCGCATCCTCAAAGTGGAGGAGGACTGGATCTTCAGCTTCCGCTACCCGCCCGATAACGTCATATCACGTGAGTGACGGAGGCGCGCTGACGTCATCCGATGACGGACGATGGTGGCGTCTTGGGATGACGGCTGGGGGTGTGGATGATTACATTTACCCTTCACAATGGTTATGACTTGGCGACTGGGGGTATTGTTGTGGCTTGGGGCAGGCCCCGTGAGCTTGGCGATAGTTGCAGCACTTTTATGTGGATGTTTGGTGGGATTTGCGGGCTTGAGTAACGGCATTTATTGCTGGTGTCGGTTCATGGTACTCGTCCCCAATAACCACCAGTCCTCTCGTCTCACAATCTTCTCCATCTTTAGTCAGACGGTCCAGTGCCGTGTGGCCCTGCCCGCAGTCCACTCCATCCCCATGTGTCTTATCTCACCCTCTTTCAGTCGTCCTTCCCTCCGCATCGCCCAGCCTGGACCCTCAGCTCGAGCTATTCCTGCCCGATTCCCCACGCTGACCCCATTCATACGTCCTCCGTCCCACTGCTCCGGCCGGTCTGTGCTGCTGTTTGTGGTCTGGTGAGGTATGTCGTTCCGTGTTGTGTGGCTGCTGAGCCATCCGGCGGTGCTGCTGCAGGGGTCCGCACGTTAGACGCTCAGCGGCAGTGGATCGTTCAAGAGATGGACCATTTTGGCGTGCGGCTCAACCTGGAAGGTGTGGTGGCGGAGCGCGCACGATCCGTGTACTGCTACCCTCTGCGTCGTAACCAACATTGGCTAGATGTCTGCTATATGGCTGCTGGGTGTCCGAAGCATGTTTGTCGGTGGATGAGATGTTAGATGTTTGCCCTGCTTTCGATGTGACTAACATGAACTGACTTCCCCTCTTAAGATCCGTGTACAGATCGTTATGTTCATTGTACCCCGGCTTCTCTGCATAGTTGTACATGTATGGATGTGCAATAGTGTATACTGCATTCATGAGCGCAAAATGGCCTCGTCATCGACGCATCCGTAGACACTAACAGGAGTATGCTGCATTGCATAAATGCTGTCGATGTCTTCCATAGTAGTGAAGTGCTGGTATTGTCAACGCCAGCTTGTGCGTATGTGTTTAAATTCAATCAGTGTGAGCGTATCTCGCAGGCGTTTCAGCAGCGCAGCACTCGAAGATCGTGGCCGCGCCGCTATATGTCTTCGCCTGTATAGCTGATTTCAGCGGTGCTGTCCGTAGTATACTAACTCAGCGACGTCCCTTGTCATACTTGTAGCTGTGTTAATGTCGCAGCTCCGTCAGCAGGTCGGTCCCGAGTCCGACCAGTCGACGTGCTTTCCGTGCTTTGCATGCATGAAGTAGCCTGCTCCCTTAGCCGCTGGTTGACGTTCAGCCCTTTGGACCCCATTGGCTATATACAGTTCATTGCTTCATTGTCTCGCTAAATATCATGTACAGATTGACGTGTTCCCTGTTCGGTGTTCAATGCCTTTCTGCCGGTTAACTGTGACACGACTTGGCTGAGGGCCGTCATAGGGAGCTGCCAGGCTGACACCATCTTCGAATGTGGCGTGCTGTTTTTCATTTCGTCCCGAACGATTTTTCTCCCTTCGCAGTCATTTACATATGAACCCTGTTCGACTGTGGCGCTGAAGCGACTCTTCTCTTTTCTGTGACTCCCTTCATTCCCTCCTTGTTGAACCTGCTGACCCCTCTGACCCCCCCCCCCCCTCCCCGGCAGCGATGTCGATCCAGGAGGAGTGTCAGTCGACTCCCGCACCTAGCTGACCCCTCTGACCCCCCCCCCCCCCTCCCTCCCCGGCAGCGATGTCGATCCAGGAGGAGTGTCAGTCGACTCCTGCACTGCTGCACCTAGCTGACCCCTCTGACCCCTCTAACCTCCCCCCCCCCCCTTCCTGCAGCGATGTCGATCCAGGAGGAGTGTCAGTCGACTCCCGTACTGCTGCACCTAGCTGACCCCTCTGACCCCTCTGACCCCCCCCCCCTTCCTGCAGCGATGTCGATCCAGGAGGAGTGTCAGTCGACTCCTGCACTGCTGCACCTCCCGGAGGGCTCGGCGGCGGCGGCGGCGGCGGCCGGGGCGGGCGGCACTGACCCGGCCGGCGGACCCGTCCCAGAGAACACTCTCCGACAGAGCTACACGCGACTCAGTGTCAGTCTAGAGGAGAACGGGCTCTTCAAGGTGAGGCGTCGAAGTGAGCTAACGAGCTACCTACTAACCAGTTAAAACTACTAACGCTGCAGTGGTTACGGAATAGAAAGGGTGATAACACGGAGGTGGTAAATACAATATGCAGTAGCATCAGCTAAAATGAGAACTAAAAGCGTGATGTCGAACCTAGGTAGATGATTGGTGGAGGGCTGACACATCAGCTGACTGCTATAGAGAGTCTGGTAGGTATGGCAGCTGCAGTATGACTGCGCTATGATAGCGGTACGACTAACCGCAATCGGTGCTGTTGGCTGGTTGCATGTGCTGTGCAGATGTCGCCGCTAACTGCCTTTGCACGCTGTATGTAAATATGTTCCACCCCCGGCTACGCTGCTGCCCCTGTCGCGTCAAACTCCGGCGAACGTTGGGATCGGGGATTGGGCTACAATGAACATATACACGGAATTTGCGGTCTGTTCGAGTCCTACAAGCAAAAGGTCACGGTCAGACACACACACACAAAGCAGACACATTGGCCCTCACTTTTGTGACCCTCATTACTTTATTTGGCAGACATGTTCAGCAGTGAAGCAACGAGTAATTACTTTTCAGGTTGTTGACGGCTGCTTGCGTCATTCGATCGGAACCAGATGCGGAAAGGATGTTGAAGCGCATGTTTTTTTTTTCGGCAACATGGCGTCGAATTTCTCATATCTGCACAGACCCTTCACCTCGTACTCGACACTCAGCCCTCACACGCTCCGCCCTCCACTATTTTTCTGCTCCACAAGCCGTCACCACACACGGTCACTGAGTTACCACTCGTCTGGACCGGTCTGGTGTCGTCCGTTCGCTCAGTCGTAGCTCCTCCGCTGGCCCCTCTCCGTCGGCGTCGCTTCCCTTCACCATCCTGCTTCATTAGCCGGGCCGCTGACCGGGCAGTGGTGACCTGACCTGCCCCCAGGTGGCCTCCGGGCCCAGCTCGTCCGCCTCGAGCTGCACGCTGAAAATGACCCTGGACGAACTCAGAGATATCAATAAGTACGCAGAGAGCACGAAAAGCCTCTCGTTCCTGCCGCTGGTAAGGGTGCCTCGCTTACCGCTCGGGTTTGGTGGGTCTGTGCTAGAGCTAACCACTAACGCTACTGCTAACGGCTACTTATCGCTCGCTAAGAGGGACTAACCTTTTTACTGGCGGGTTTATCAGAGGAGTGAAAGTTTTTGAATAGGGAAAATTTGATAGAAAACAAATTCTTATGGAACATTTTGATTCACTATCAAAAGTTAAATTAACACACACTTGGTCGGCAAAGAAAGGCTGGCCACTTTGAATATATTGTACATATGTTTTGGACACTTGTGATTTTCGGAAAACGGCAGTCGCTGCTTGTCCGTAACATTGATGACATTTGTTTAGTTTTCAAACTGTATTCCATGTCTAATGTCTCAATATAGCGTTCTTGTATACTTTCTGTTTTCAATATCGCTGTGTAAGCTCTGTACACACAGCCGTGTCGCTGTGTTGGCTGCAGTCGTTCCAGCTATTCTGACAAACAACGCCCGCTCCAGGTTCACGAGCGGCAGACGGCGCGCATGCGCACTCGCTCCGAGTGGTTCCTCACGCCTCTGGAGCTCAGCCTGCGGGCGGGGGCGGCGGCGGCGGCGGCGGGGGCGGCGGGTGAGCCGGGCGCGGTGCCCGTGACGCCGCCCTCTGCGGGCGTGCTGCGGGGCGAGCGGCGAGCCAACACGGCGCCACGGCCGAGCCTGCCGACCGCAGGTCAGTGTGGGGCGTACCGCCGGGCGGGTGGCTGGGGGCAGGAATACCGGACACGCCGGTAAACTGAGTGAAGTTGTTACCGGGTTCAGCAGTACCATTATATGCTTGTTTGTGTGCTCAACTATGTATAATCGTCAAATGTTTGCTGTGCTCCCTCCGACTGCCCAGCTGACCGAGGTGTGTGCCGGGTGTGTGTGTGTGTGTGTGTCTGTGTCCGGCAGGCGGTGGCGGCGCCAGCAGTGTCGACCGGGACAAGCGGCTGGTGCGGCGATCCTCGAGCAAAGACAAGGAGCGCCGGCTGGTGCGCCGCTCCTCCAGCAAAAAGGACAAGGAGAACGGCGCGCAGCTGCGCCAGGCGCTGGCGGCCGCCGGGGGCGGGGGCGGCGTCGAGCCGGCCGCCGCCGACGAGTCGCCCCGCCGGCCGCTCTCCGAGCACGAGTGCAGCGAGACCAGCACGGTCGGACTGCACGTGTCGCTCACGTACAAACCGCGCATCTGAGGGCCGCCGCCGCCGCTGCCGCTGCTGCTGCTGCACCGTTGCCCATTCCAGCCGTCGATTCCATTGAGTCAGAGTACAAAGTGGGACTGCCTTGGGCGGCCGCCGCCGCCGCCGGCCGCTGCGGCTCGGGCCGCCGCCACTCCGCTTCTGTCGTTTTGTGATTTGTGTTCCGACTCTTCCATTTTTCTACAGGCGCTCGGGTGTGCCGGCGCCCAGACTGCGGGTCGGGTCGGGTCGGGGAGCGGTCACGGCCGCCGGGCTCGCTCACTCTCCGATGGCACACACTCACGGCGCGGCGTGGCGCACCGCGCGCCGCACGGTTCGCACGGGCCGCCGGCTGGCCCGCTATTCCACGACGCGAGTCTGTTTTATACGTATCCTAGCTTTAATATGTTAATATATTCACACAGGTTTCTACACTGCCTCAGGGGCCAAGATAATAGTTATGTCCGTAGGTGAGCGCCGACCCGCCGACGCGCGCGGTCGCCAAACGAACCAAATGAGCCAGGAACCCCCCACCAGCGCCGCCCGACACAGAGCGCGCGCGCCACATATTGTCCCGCACCGACTGATATTGTGTTCTTGCCATTGCCATTGTCGCGCGCAGTTGTGTGCAAAGTGCATGCTCGCTGTTATTATTTATATTTTGCGTATTTATATTGTTACCAAAACGTTTCTAATTTATTAAAATAGTTCGCTTCGTTTTGTGTGGGCCGTGCATCTTTGGTATATTTTGTACTCTGCTCCGTGACGGTTTCTTAATAAATATTATACGTTTTTGTACCGGTGTCGTCTGCTTGGCTTCTGGCTGGGAGTGGGCGGCGCGCTGTGAATGCTGCCGAGCTGTCCGCGCCCGGTGCATGGTCCGTGGCCGTCACAATCGCCGCACGCGCCACCGCCCGCCGCACTGCCGCCGGCGTCCCCGCCATAGACGGAGACGCGACGGGGAGAGGTTAGTACGTGTCGCAGAATGCCAGATTACGTATTGGGCGCGGCTAAATGCATCCCATGTAAAAGCACCAAAATGGATCAATGTTATATGTTCGGTGTATGATCTGTTGCATTGAGACTGATTGAACGAGTAGTCAGTCAAATGCGTTCAAGACTATGTACTCGATGTGTTCTTTAATCGAATGGACTTTGGACTCTGCAAATTACAATAGGTTGAACTTGAAGCCGAGTGAAACGTTCCATCGGCCGCGGTGCCTCTTGCACATTCCATCCCTACATGCCACGTCCTAAAACTCGGGCTGTCCAACTCCACACCCAACCGCCGCCTCCTCAAACAAAACACCATGGCCAGTTACACATAGCTGTATTCCTCGTGAGAACGACGCATATGTAGACGGCTAACAAATGGAACCAGCGAGACCCCGCACGGTCCCCGAGTATAGTCTCTCTTGAAAGTATCGCGACTCTGAGGGAAGGCGCTGCCTGTCCCAGCCGCGGTTGAGCGGAAAGGTTTGAGAGCCGCTGGTAGCACTGACCGAAGCCCGACACGCGGAGGCAGCCGGCGCGGCGGGCCGAGGGGAGTGGTTACGGACTGCGGAGGGATAGGGGGAGGTGGGAGTCGCCGTCCTCTAACTGGTGATGGCAGTAAGCATGTAGTCAACGGAAGCCGACCTACTTGCAGAGGATTTGTTGAGCTTGTTTCATTGCAAAGTTAATCATTTCAGCCGTCATCGGCACGACTGTCACATATTTTTGTTGTAAAATCCGGAAACCCGTGCCCGAATACGAAAAAAACATCGGTTGCACTCACTTGCACCCGCTAACAGAATGCATCCGTGGTTGCAGACGCACCCGCGAGCGGGTTAAAAAAAAACAACAAAAGTTCTCTCTCTCTCTAGCCAATTCGCCAATTCGCTCTCTAGCCAATTAGTCCTATATTTGGAGTTCTCTCTTTTTAATGAGCTGGTTAGTGAGCGGCGACAAAAAAAATGTTTACTGTTCAGCCGTCTTCTTTTTAAAAGCCTTATTTGATGCCAGGCTGCCCTCCCCCCCCCCCTCATGACCTGTTGACGTCGTTCAGCAGGCCTCTTTACAGTAGGATTATGGCGGAACTTTGCTTTGATGTGATTTTCGCGTCACGCACACTGATAGGCGCCCACTAAGGCAGACCAACGAGCGCCCGGCTGGTGAGCCCAAGCGGCGCCGGTGTCCGCCTGGGGCGGTGGATGGGGTCAAGGAAGAGCGATACGAGCATGATCTCTGGCCGGCCTCTGCCTGTTTTGACCCAGTTGTCAGCCGCTGGTGCCTGCGTCATATAGCAGTTTTCCTGCTACCGCTGGCGTAGAATCGTGTTACAGCGTACTTCTTATGATACAGGCCATGACCTCACTGCTGGGGTCCCCAAACTGAATGGAATAGTTCGCCGAGCCGCCGCAGCCCCTGACGCGATACTTTCAAGAGAGACTATACAGCCCAGCTCGGCAAGATACCACTGACGAATTGGCGAGGACGCGGGCCCGCTGAGGCGCGCGCGGGCTCCGTAAGCGCCCGCTGGGCCGCCGGGTTCGGTACCCACACGGTGTATTATGCCGCGCGGACGAGAGGGGACGGGCGGACGGCATGCAGCCTCCAGTACGCAGTACCCGGGCCGGTACCGGGTACACTGCGCCGCGCGCGGTACAGGCGCACGCCAGTCGAGATCGCAAGGAATTATCACCGTCACAGCGGGGCGGTAGGGCGCGTCACCACGCGGCACCGCGTTCATGGGACGTGGGCCGGCCGGCAGGCCCGAGATTGAGATACACCCGAGCGCGTCCAGCCGCCGGCCCGGTTAGCTGCTAATAAAGCCTCCCAATACTAGACTAGGACGCCAAACCTAGACGGTCTCCGCCCGGACCATAGACGCTATAGAGCTATGCACCGCGCGACTGCCTCAGTTCGAGCTAATCTGGTAACGATATACATACCCTGACGTATACGCACGAAGACCAATACCCACCACTGTGCGACGCGCGCGAGACCCAACAGATGCCATCAAACTATCCCTCAAACGAGTCCGAGAACTGAGAAGTCGAGTCACTGCACGGTACCACCGTCGAACACAAGTTAAATCAGTCGGTTATTGCAGAGCTTGATTGGCGTTCATGGGTGCACCCATGCAGTGTTCGACACGAAAGACATACAATGAAAACTATACACAGACTCTGCGACTCGACAGCGACAAGCTCCTCTGTTCCGGTTGATCTTTGGATAATATCACGTCCCGTAGTCCCTCTGTGCGTTACTCTGCTGCCCCCTCCATGTCGCCCGGCGGACCAGCGTCCCGGGCGGGCCGGGCGGGCCCGCAGAGTCGAGTCAATATGACCGAACGGCGGACCGCCACTTGACCAATGTTTGTACTGTAATGTCCCCACAAAACAGCTAACAGCCACCGGCGCTACGGACTCAACGGGAACTAAACAACACCTGCCGGTCAGCTCAACACGTAAAATAACCCATAACTTGACGGAATATGGTCTGGTATAATAACATCCTATACATTAATTATTGTCACGATCTGTAACATGGCGCAACCCTACCTAGTTGGGTTACCGGTTACAGACTGCCGGATGCCCTAACCCATTCCGAGTGCTAACATCTGACCCAATCCCCTCTCCCCCCCCCCCTGTCATGGGATGCCGTCTGCCCCTACAGCGCTCTCTGAATCTGTCCTCTGTTCCAGCTGCTCCGACGTCACAGCTGCTGACTCCCAGCGACGCTCATTGGTCGAGCGGTCCGACGGCGGCCGCTGATTGGTCCGCCGGCTCAACCGCGGCAGCTGATTGGCGCAGCGGGCGCGGCCCGGTCGCCGATTGGTCTAGCTGCGCCGCGCCGGCTGTTGATTGGTCCGTCCGCGGTAGCGCTTGACGCGCCCCACCTTGACTCCGCGGGTGAGCGAGCGCTCAAGCACGAGGTCGTACTCGTGCAGTGAGGTGAGGATCTGCACCAGGAACGAGGTGAGCTCGGGGTCGCGCAGGAACGACGCCTCGTCGTACATCTGCTGCGTGACGGCGCACGCAGCCAGCTCCTCGACGAACGCCGGCAGCTGGCGATCCCTGCGGCCGGGGAGAGCGGGCGGTCAGCGGGCGGAGCAGAGCCGGGACCCGGCGCCCCAGACCGTCCCTGCGGCACTGCGCAGATACGCTTACCACGGGCAGCCAGTGGCGCCCTCAGACGCGCTATTTTTGCTATGTACTCGGACCGAGCGGGCGGCGGGTGGTCACTGTGTGAATCTCTGCCGGTATGAACTACTTTGACTGTGACGTGTGGCGCCGCCCGTACAATATAACAATCACTGTCGTATAGCTGATGTTCGTCTCAAATATCTTAATCGGAACGAGAAACCATGCGACGAGAAATTTAACATCGCCACCCTAACTCATACATTAAACCAAACCAACCACTCCAACTTTAATGCCACCATTATGCTCTATTAGACCCATGTATAATACAGGACAATTCTAGCTGACGATAATACAGCCCTCCAACGACAACGTGACGGACGACAATGAAGCAAGTCCAGTCTTATCAGAAGTGGCGCTCCCGCACGGAGAGGGCGATATTCTCACCTGATGGCGATAAGCAGCCAGACCTGGAACTTATCGTCCTTGCCCATGGCCTGTCCGGCCTGGTCGATTTCAAACACCAGTCGGCAGATGGCTACCTTGGTGGCCAGCTCGGCCGGCAGCTCGCCCTCCCGGTCCAGAAACTCCGACTCCAGCACCAGCTGCACCCGGCCTGGAAACAGGAGTTAGGTGCTGGTCATTGGGGGACTGAACTCAAGACACAAAGCCAGTAACCAAGAGATGCATAGAGGTAGGCCTGGGCGAGCGGGAGCAGGGCAAAGGTTAATTACTGAAGTCAGCAGCTGAGGTTCGGAATTATCCGACACACCTGATTTGAGATACACTGGGCCTCAGAAGATCATCAGAAGTTCACATCTGACACAATTTGGCAGGCATCATTAGGATACAACTAACACACCACGATCAGTGGCGATTCAGTGAAAATGAGTCCAGCAAAGACAACCAGCCGCCACATTCGCCAGCTCATCTCACCGAGGTAGTCCCAGAGGTAGAAGTTTTTGCCAAACAGCCGGCTGGAGCGGTAGCCGTAAGAGAACACCTGCTCCAGACAGGGCACCAGGCCGCACTCGCCGCACAGCAGCCGGGTCAGAGAGCCGCGCTCCTTCTCCGGACGGTGGAAGTACTTGACGATCGTGTTCACTGCGTCACCTGAGGGGAGAGGGCCGGGAAAGGGACGGTTAGAAAAGCGTAGACAAGGGGATCGGAGGCCGGCCTGACTGACAGGAGATGGCGACACTGTCATTACAGCTCTAAGTAGTCAAATAAGTAAACCCGTAAAAGCGCGACTATAATGAGCTTGTCATCAACTCTTTGCAAACGTCTCTAATCTGACATACCCGACTCTGAGACACCCCACACTGCAACTCCCTCACCGGCCTCACCTAGTGCATTTTGCACGCTACTGTCCTCCCCTCCTCTCCCCACCCCACCACTCTCCCTCACCTAGGGCGTGCTGCACGCTGCTGGCGTCCGGCTGGCTCCTCCGCGGCACGCTGGGGCTGCGGCAGCGCGGCGGCGTACTGCACTGGGAGCTCAGCTGGCCGACCGGCACGTCCGCGGGCACCGGCTCTCCGACCAGTACGCGCTCCGTGCTGCCGTCGTCGATACTGCGGCCCAGCCAGCGGCCGCAGGCGAACCGGTACAGTTGGCCAGTCACCTCGTTACGCACCACCACGTGCTCCACCAGCCAGTTGGGTGACATGCCCGTGTTGTCGTGGCCCAGCTGGACGGTGGTCAGCAGGCCCAGGTTCTTGTGCTGGGAGGGCGAGAGGAAATCGTTATGAGATACGTAGGATTGGAAAATCAGCAGAAAACTCGTTTGGGAGGCATGGATATCTACAACGTGTCAGATGGTAAACATTTAGCGGGTGATTTCAAATAACTTATAACGGTTCGACCACTAAGAATGCCTCTGTTGATGTTGGTCACCATAAAAGCGACCAAAACCAGCAGAAAGACTTCACATAATGCTGAGAGATGTTAGTGATGAGCCGATACGACCGCTTTAGCAATAATACCAAGCCGTGACTGAGCGCAGCAGCCGCGCAGTTGCCTCACCTTGAAGATGGCGCAGCGTCCGCCCTTGGGCAGCGGCAGCGGGCCCGTCTCCCGCAGTGCGCCCGAGACGCGCACCCAGGCGTTGGCAGTGGTCGTGGCCGCCGACGTCTTCTTGGTGGTGAATATCACCACACGGTAGGTAATCACTGCGGGGTTACCGGAACGAGCGAGATGTCAGTGACAAGGCAGGCATGTGAACGCACTAATGCAAGGCCATATATAGTAGGTAGCGACACTGAGCGATTTGTTTACAGCCAGCTTCGATCCCGATGACGCAAATGTGTCGTCACGAGACAAAACAATATGGCCACCTCTAATGAGAACCAAGTGCAATAAGTTCCCGGATGTAGACAGCACTGACGTCACCGGGATCGAAACCGACGATATCAGTACTGGACCTATGACGAAGCAAAGTAGTAACATCCCCCTGCACTAATGCAAGGTTGTATGTGGCTATGACAACGATGCACTGAGTGCGATGGGCACAAGGTGCCTAGCTAGATACGAATACTGTAAGGATTTAACTGCGGAAACATAAACATGATACAGTTTAAGACTGCATGAACACAAAACGAACAAAAGCATAACACGCATCGAAATCATAACCTTCATTAAGCAGTGATTGTTCAATACTCCCGCTCGCTTCAATACCCGTCGCCAGTCTCACTCACCAGTATTAGGGTAGGAGGTGGTGAAACAAAAGTAGTCGACGGCATTGAGTGAGAGCAGATGGCACAGGAACTGTTCGCGCTCCTCCTCCGAACGGAGGAAGGCGTACCTCTTGTACAAACTCCTGGAGCACACAAAAGACACAGACATCAGGGCTCACTCCAGTTATCACACTCAGCAGCACGCAATTTGGGGTGAGAGCAGACACTCGCTGCAACTGACATTTCTTCACACTGGTTGACTTGGCGACTTCAACTTGATCGTCTATTAGACTGTAACGTCATTCTGAGAAGGCCCATACCCGTCTGACCACAGTGCCGGGCCCCAGTTCTCACCTGAGCAGCTCATTATCTGAAAGGAGAGCCCTCAGGTGCTTCGAGAGCAGCTTCTTCTCCAGCGAGAGCCGCACCCAGGCGCGCGCGTAACCAATCTCAGTCTTGATCTCACTCATCGCCAGCACGTTCCTGCAAAGGGGTCGTAATGATTAGTTATCATGACCATCATGACTGTGGCACAATCGAAGAGCATAAGAGGAGCTAGTAAATACGGCAGTGATTTCAGATTGAATGGGGTAAATAAACATAAGCTGTCATGATTGCCGAACACGAAGGCATCAGTAGCTGAGAAGAAAACAGGTCATATCACTCTTCTGCAACGAAGGAATTATCACAATCCTCCGTGCAACCCTCCTTGTGCGATATCATCGTAACGCTGCCCAGCGTACTTAGACCGTGTTGGCGGAGATCGCTTCCTCGCCACTGACCTCATGTCGAAAGTGATGGCCACCGGCAGCGGTTTGAGCGGGTCCGGCGCGGTCGGTGTCTGCCGCGGTCCGTCCCCGCCGCCGCTGCCGCGCGAGGCGCCCCGCGACAGACGAGACGGGGAGGAGGGCGCCGAGTCGGGCTCCAGAGACATCGACGACAGGTCTGCCACCGCGGTCATGGATGGTCACGGGAGGGTCACGGACGTGTCACGGGAGAGTCACGGACGTGTCACGATGGGGTCCCCTAACGGTGTGCTAAAGGAGTCCAGGGGTCAATTATACCGGTCATAGGAAACGGGAGCTCTTAGAGGGTAAAGGTAAGGCATGGAGGAGCACTGTGGTTATGACGAGCTGGAATTTATCCGAAGTTTTAAAATGTCACGTACCCACCGGATGCAGTAGAGTAGTCGGATAAAATCGTGGGGACAGGGTGAGACTGATAGGGGCGGTTCGAAACTGTGAGCTCAGCGGGATGGCAGCAGAAGCTGCCGTAGCGCGGACGACCACCGTCACATCAGGCCGACAAGGCATGGTTTTGCATGGGATTGGATTGGGTGTGGATTTGGGAAACCTTTGATAACACGATCGGTAAGAATATAAAAATAGCCGATTGCACACTTTTCTGGACCGTAATCCAAACTTAAATAAAAAAAACAAGACACATGGAGCACGGAAATATAAAATATCTGAGTTTCGCTTGGGAAACTGAGACCAAAACGAGGATCAATGCAAATGTTCTTACCAAGACTGTGCCCATCTGTTTAAGCCCATCTGTTAAGAGTAGTAAAGTTATCCAGTCAACACTTCTTACAAGAAATCAAATTACCTTAAGTACTCCCTGTCACACCCTTACAACTTCACTCAACATAGAAAGGCACAGCCAGACTGAGTGCAGTTACCAAAAATAGCAGGCGGCATTCTCCATAGCCATGCAGGCAACAGCCACACGAAGATCACCACCATTGCCAAAAACAAATATTTCGCCGAACATGCACCATGCAAAGCCGTACAGTCACAAACCCGGCACCGGACCGCTACCAGAGGTTCTCCCGTCACCGCCGCCACCACAGCTAAAGGAGCGACTGAGAATGGGCAGAGTTGGGGACACGCCACTCATAGCTCCGCACAGGTCCGTCACAGCAGAGGGCGACTCGGCAAAGTCTGCAGTCTAGAGCCCAGGTCAGCTACCTTAGCTCAGACAGGTCGTAGTTCGGAGTCAGATCCGCGACCGGAGCAGCATCCAGTGAACGACGAGTCAATTTCCTTTCTGTGAATCAGCTCCCCGCCTCCACCAGAACAAATCACCGTCAACTCACATAGAAGTCACACGAAGCTCCAATCACATCTGGTTATGGCGGCATCCGAGTTGGTTAGCACACTCACACACAATAGTTAGCACAATCTCACACAGTCTGGTTATAACACTCTCACACGGACAGAGACAGAGCGAAGGACCACCCCACCGGCCGGGGCGGATAGCAGACGGCGGAGACACACCGACCCACCTATACTGTCGGCTATCTGACTGACGACCTCGGCAATATTCCCGGAGCGCAGTGTAGTCAGCAGGTCACCGAGACTGGGCGGGTCGGGCAGCGCGGGTGGCGCCGGCGGCTCCGGCTCGGCTGGACAGTACGCGCAGACCACAGATGGACTCACCGGGTCACACAGGGGTACGGTGCTCACAGGCACAGCGAGAAACTGGATACTATACCAGTGACAATCGGTACTCCAAAGGATGGTTTTGACGAGTAGGGGACACCAGGGCTGTCGAACATCACAAAACCCGGACAAAACACCAGACAACCCATAAAACATACGCCTTGTCTGGAACAGACAACATTATCGTGGACATCCATACAATGTCCCAAAATTTGTCTATTTGGGTGGGAAACGACATCCAAATGAAATTCATTTTCCACTCTCACCACCATTTTTAAGAACAATTTTCCACTCTCAAGTCCCAACCAAGAAAACATAGATTTTTTACCTATAGAACCAGTTGTGTGGATGCCCAGTTAGCATCAAACATTCTACACCCTAGAATAAAATGCATGCTTTTTGTCATTTCTCACTCCTTTTTGATCTAATCGAATCAGCAGTTTTCCACTCTCTCCCCTCTTTTTGGTGGGTAATTTTCCCCTCTGACACCCAAGACAAAACTCAATTTTGGGACACTGCATCCATACAACAAACCGACACTGTGCATAGTTACATCCCTTCCCGAGGCATAACTTCTACCATGCCACGATATGTATCCACAGCCATCGTTCCCTGTGCTGTGTGCTCTACCCCGTGCCTCTCGGGCTGATCCTGTGCTAAAAGGTGTGGTGTAACACATCATGCAGTAATTCCCAGATCACAGCCAACATGCAAGCATGGCACAGAACATTATGTGTTCCGTGTTTCAATTCGCAATAAACTACAGTTGGGAAACAGCGAACTACTTGTGCTACCAATACGTACGTCTTCAAGAGCAAACAATCGATCAACCATGATCTAGCATGCCCATTGACCAAATAACTACGGCACATTTAGCTATCTATTCAATTGGTCGTCTAACATCGACCCCAGCATATGTATGTGTATGCGCGACCCCCCTGTGATATTCTGTTATCCCTAGCCGGCGTGTTATAACAGAAAACACCGATACATGCGTCAAAGCCACGGGTGCACGGCTCTCTGCCCAGCGTGCCGGCAGTGGTGCCGCTCCCCCCAACCTACAGTCAATCCGCCGGCGGAGCACACACCACGCCAAGGCTGCGTGAAATGGGCACAGACACGGGCACACGCATCAGCCGAGTGACTGACGGCGGCAGAATGTCCGGGTGATCCACACATTGTACAACGGACCAGTATTGAGTAAATGAACTGAATCGAGTAACGAGTTACACAATATGTTCAAAGGCAGTGAGTGCAAATAACCCCAAGACGAATCGAATACACAACCCCAATGCGGTGCCACCACGACTCTAAGCTCCGTGCCTACTTTCCGTGAAAATTACCGGCACTAGACCCAATTTTAGACGAATACCACTACGACCAAAATGACTGGACGTATATCCAACCCCCACATCCACACCCAGACTCATTTCCCCGCGATGCAGCCCGCCGCGAACCCGACCCGGGCCGGTACCGGTGAGGTACAGACGCACCCCGCCGGCCCGTCGGCCGCCGTCCACTCACCGGGGCTGAGGAAGTTGGGGTCGATCGGCTGCGAGGCGTCCTTACAAGACTCCAGCTCCTGGTAGTTTAGAAGGTGGGACCACAGTGACGACTTGCCCTGGAAACGGAGGGGACACGTTGGTCTACCATAAAATCGCCCGGTGAGCCACATAGATCGCGGCTTTATGCGGGCCCGGCAAACGGAAGTTGTAAATGACTTGCTAGCTCAAGAATAAATTAAACTTCCGATGAAATAAAAAAAAGCACATCATGTGACCAACATGAGTAAAAACCACAAGACCAGCCTCGGGAACCGGCAACAAGTTCGGATGATGGAATAATGAAAATCCAACGGCTTATTTGTCGAGCCATGAAAACGACTTTGCAAGCTTCTTACGCTGTTAAATACTACGTTAAAGGTAGTGTGCCAGCTTTCCTGGACCGTATGGAGTTAATGGCCCAGATAAGGAGAACCGGATTTTTAGAACTTATCCATACCTTCAAAACTCATGGAAACGTCTTAAATTCTTCAAATTTTGAGTACCCCAGTGCGAAATTCGCCCCGACGGGTTGTCGGTCGTACCCCAACCACATTTCACACCACTATGAACAATAAATGCACACACTGAAATCGCTATTACCGATATGCTCATCCAATCAAGTTTCGATAAACCCGTTCATCATCAGCTCCTGCGGTTTCGAACACGCCTGTTAGGTGGTGCGGTAGACCACGCCCAAAGCCAGGGCCCCGGTAACGTGAGGTAGCCGAGTCAGGGCAGCGTGCGCTGACCCAAGCCGGAGCCGCGCGTCCTCCCGGTGTCATGTGACAGCCCGGGGCTGCCCGCGGGGATGCGGTAGACCGCGCCCAAAGCTGCGGCCCCGGCTTGGGTCAGCGCACGCTGCCCCGACTCGGCTACCTCACGTTACCGGGGCCCTGGCTTTGGGCGCGGCTTCTGCTCATACTTTGTGGTGCGGTGGTGGTGCGTCGGGCTGCGCGCTCTGACTTCGGCCAAGAAAAATGCGTCAGCTGATCATTGTCATTTCTGCCACTTGCGTGTGGTGAAATGGGGCCATAACTTATGAGACGGCTTTTTCATATCAATTATTTTACATAAAATCATATTTCAAACCATAAATAATGTTCGACAGCCAAATAAAAGAAACAATACCAATACGGGCTTACAGTTTAAGGCTCGACATTGTGTTGACTACGATTAGACAGCTGATAACTCATTCCCGTACGTCGTATGGTCGTAACACTATAATGACCTTTGCTTATTGTCACAAGTGCGCCGCATTCGCGATTGTTGCCGACGACTGTTTGCAGGTGAGCCCACTACAGTTGTTATACATATCTAAAAACCGATAAACTTTTAGGCGAAAAAGGCACTATTCCAGGCCCATTTTTGATTTTTTGCGATATTAGGTAAAAACAGAAGCTTCTTATCCTAGGAAAAATAAAATGGGAAATCTTTCAAAGGTGGCACACTACCTTTAAGCTCGCTGTCACACCGAGTTTCACTTCACGCAATCACGTCACGAACTCCTTATCTAGCCTCACAGTTCCTCACGCTCCCCCATTCAGAAGTTCCCGCACCGCACCATTCTATCCTGGCAGTCCCATTCCGTACCTGTTTGCTCTGCAGGCCGTGGCTCCAGATACGCTCCATGAGGTCACACAGAGACGCGATCAGTGTGTTCTCCTCGACTCCGACCAGACTGAGCTCCCCGTGTCCGAGCGCGGCCGCCTCGGTGCCCATCTTCTCCACCAGCATACGCTTCGTCCTGCTCTTACACTCCTGTGGATAGGGCGGAGGGATTAGAGTGATATGGAGAGAGAAAAGAGGGAGACTATAGAGAAACGTTAAGAGCGCAATAATTGGTGGAACGGAACCGGCCTAACGTAACGACACCAACTTGTGTTAAAAGGGCGTAAAACGTACATTGATAAACACCTGACACATAACAAATAGGTTTCCAAACCGTCTTGGTCCTAACTCCCAGGAGTTGAACATATAAATATAAATGGAGCATAAAGACTAGCAACCTAAATAATACGAATTACTGAATCAAGCATGACGATTAAACACCTCTTGCTAGTCTGCCCAGCCACCGGTAACATCCCCGTCTTACCTTGAGCGCCTGTTCGACGAACTTCCAGTTGTTCTCTCGCATGGCGGCCAGCGAGGTGTTGGCGATGAGCGGGGCGGGGTTCTGCAGCTGCTGGCGCGCCTCCGAGATGACGCGCTGCCGCTCCCGACGGAGCAGCGTCGACGCCGACTCCTGGTCACCGCCGCTGACGACGAGAGGGCAGGGGCGTCAGTTACAGCGCAGTATGGTCACAGCCGGGCTCGGTAATTAGAGCTCTTCTTAACGAAACGTCATGTTATGCTAGTTGCTACTGATGAAAATCATGAAAGCCTACAAGGTTATCACTTATCAGCATCAGTGTAATGAGCGTCGCGTCAGAGAATCGTGACAGATATGGATTGTAACAATGTCCGTTGTCCATGCCAATTAGAAACATTTGTGAAGGATTCCATGTTACAGTCTCTCAAATGTTCACTCGACTTTGCAGATGTCAGTAAAAAAAAAATGACCACATAAAACGCCGTCGGCCTTCGTGCTTCAAACTTGTTCATTCACATATTCAACATACCTCCCCTCCTATCCACCCTTTCTCCGCTCACCTGTCGTGTTCGGCGGCGCCGGCGGCCACCAGAGCGGCGTCCAGCCGCGGGAACCGGCCACTCAGACAGCTGCGGCCGTCGGCGGGAACCTCCAGCGGCGGCGGCGGCGGCGCCTCCAGCTCCGGGCAGCGCAGCCGACGCTCCAACACCCGCTCCGTCTCGGCGATGGTACAGCAGCGCTCGTAAGAGGGAGTGCGCACCAGACCCTCGCTCTCCGACCTGTCGCGGGGGGGGGGGGGGGCGGACCGAGTCATGCTCTGCGCGACATCAGGAAACAATCTTATATGTCGTAGAATCGGTTGAAACGTTCGGAACGCACTTAATAGTTCATGACAATGTGATCGTGGACTCCCATGTTAATGTTATCGCTCGAGCATATCATTTCAATCTAAGTGATAACGGATGTTGAAGCACCATTTGCCACTCACTCGATCTTCCTGATATGATAGCTCCTCGCTCCCCAGCCCTTTCCATTCTCAGCCAGTGTCTCCTCCGCCACTCACTTGATCCTCCTGATGCGCGAGTCAAAGACCCTCAGTGCCGCGTCCACCTCGCCCCAGTTGGCCAGGATTTTGTTGTCGATCAGCGAGCAGAACAGCTGCGTCTCGATGAAGCGCGACAAGAAGGGCAGGTCCTGGTGCGGCTGGTCCGAGAGGAACGTCACCTTGTCGAAGTTCTGCATCGACTCGCGGTTGTAGAGCCACGACTCCATGTCCTGGAGGTGGGGGCAGCGGGGAGGTGATTAGACAATGCAATGGCGGCGATGTGTAGTTCGTAACTAATGAGTGCACAAAATACAAATTGATTGAGATAGGGCGGATTAATAACGAACGAATGATTGGTTCAATGAATGAAAGAATGAATGCATGAATGAATGAATGAATGAATGAATGAATGAACAAATGAATGAACAAATGAATGAATGAGGATCAATGAGAGTTGATGTTGATAGAGTAAAGCCTGAACCCCCCCCCCCCCCTCTCTCGAATCCAGCGTGTCTTATGTCACGGTGTTGGATGTCAATTGTCTCTTGGAGTGTGATATAGAAAATATAAATACTTTATGAATGAACGCGAGATACTCCTGCCAGCAGGACGTGTGACACCATTGAGTGAATGCCATCGAAGGTGGCAGCTGGCGCGCAGCCAAGTCGATTAATTGGTTCAATTTCGAGCAATGGCCAGCTCGTTCGCAAACGACACCATCGGGGTAGTGCTGTTGAGTTGATTGCAAGCGATGCCGTTTAAATGCACTTGAACCCTGTTACCTGTGAGGGAAAGTGGCAGCTAACTTTCTGATCTCATTAATACCTCGCACTAACCTGATCGGGCTGAATGACGAAGTGCTCGTACGTGTGGAATATGTGTACGAATCGGTTGAGGAAGATCTCGCGCACGGCGTTGTTGCACTTTTGATCCTCAATGTACTGGTCATCATCAGAGAGTCGGCGGGCAGACGACTTCAAGGACGACAGCTTCTCCAGATCCAGACCTGGAGGAGTCGTGCCATTAATCACAACTCACGAGGTACATTTCATTGTAATACTGCGAAGCGACAGATGAGGTTGAAAATCACTGGAGGCAAGCGATTTTATCTCAAGGCACTCAACACCTACACTTGGCGTTGAAATTATGATCCAAAACTCATGATTTCCTAGATAATTCCTAAGATAGCAGAAGCCTAACATAGCCAACTTAATATCATCACCCATGCCCCCCGTCTATCGGCGTCTCGCGCCCACCTGCGTCCCTGGCCAGCTGTGTGATGCGCCGCATGCTCTCCATCTGTCCCGGGTACATCTCGGAGTTGGCAGCGGCCGGGCCGGGCGCGGCCGGCGCCGGCGCGGCCGGGTCTCCGTCCGCCGCAGACGGCACGGTCGGCGCGGCGCTCTCCGCCTCCGTCCAGGAGGGTTTCCGGCGCCGCGGCCGCCGCTCCACCGTCCCCGCTGACCGACTGCGCTCGTTACAGTTCCTGAGGGAGAGGGACGAAGGGCGGCGGTTAGACGGCTCAGGGCGGCACGGTTTGTGGGTGGGAACGAAAATGTTAAGTAAAGCCAGCGAGGCATTAGTTCCCCACGTATCCAGGACCGTGCTGTGCTAATCCGTTCCTTTCATATTCAGGTGCTACGTTAGAATACTAGCACGTCTCTCATCCCTCCATATGCGGGGCGATTCGATCTCTCACCTGTCCCAATGCTGTGTGTGCACGTTGAGTGCTACTGCCAGTATGCTACTGCTATGTTAGCCCACCCCTCACCTATCCAAATGCTGGGTGTGCACGTTGAACCTGGCCAGCGTCTCCGTCAGCTCCAGCACCAGCTCCTGCCGGCTGGGGAACTGAGGCAGCTCCTCCGGCAGCAGCAGCACGTCACTCTCCAGATCCAGCAGACACGCGTTCGCCTGAAATGGGGGAGCAATTGTTAAAACAAGTAGCTTCTCCCTTGTCCATTTCTACGCCGAGTGCCGACTCCGACCACTCTTCACTCTAACTCTGCCACTATTTCATTTTGCGATTCTGACCAGCACCTACCAACCTCTCCCCCACTTCACAATACACTTTCCACTTTGCTCCCTTGACCACTCTTATCCATCCTCTGCACACAAAGACCGCTCCTTTCCCCGCCACTTACCGCCCCGTCCTCCTGACTGGGCCGTGTAGCGCCGTACGTCACACCCATCAGGTACGGCACGGGCGCATCCAGGAAATGCGCCAGTGAGGCCGGCAGCACGGGAACGTAGACGTGGGGCCAGCTGAACGGAAACAGCAGCGCGCACAGAGACTCGGACACCAGCATCAGCTTGTACGGGTCTGAGGACGGAGACAGATGGTCAGCTGGCCGTGAGGGTCAGGCTGTGCACGGGACTGGAGAGGGTCAGTTTGTACAATCAATTTGTCAATTGGGGTCAGTGGCCGCTCCTCCCTCAGCCCACATCCCATAATCTTCCACTCTATCGTTTTTCTTCCTTTAGTCCCCTATGCCCCCAAACTTTTCTTCCTCGTGTCTCTTCCTCACGTCCCTCCCCGCTTTTGCTCACCATGCGCGTACAGCACGATCTGATGTTCCAGCAGCAGACAGGAGACGATCTGTATAACCTTCTCCACTCCGACGGCGGCGAACAGCTGTCGGATGGGGTACTCGAACACGGGCAGCTCAGCCACGGTGGGCCGCTGCAGGACGGCGTCGGCGCCCAGCAGCGGCAGCCGCACGCTGCGGCCCGGCGGCGGCACCGACACACCGAACAGCAGCTGGCACACGTACGACTCCAGCGGCAGGCAGCTGGTCGGAGACCGAGAGTGCCTGTAGGGGCAGACGGGGTGATGGTCAGCGCACGGAAAGAGATGGCATGAAAAGCAGGGGTAGCAAGCACTATATTGTCATTGCTTTGAATGTTCGAGAGCAATGTGGTTCGGACACCGCATTATAAGCGAAGCCTATGGGGGCCATCAATGTTTCGCGCAACTGAGCCGTAATCGACTCCCGGCACGGCCTTGTCCCTTTCCCTTTCCCGGGGAAACCATCCCCGTCGGCGTCCACCTCAGCTGATGTCCCGTTCCCGTACCTGTAGAGCCGACTGAGGAACACGCGCGCCACGTGCAGGTACGGCTGGCTCATCAGCAGGCCGATGCACTTGCAGACGTACAGCTGGTCCTTGGCCACGTCGTAGTAGCTCTGTGCGTGCGTGGTCAGCTTGGTGGCCAGCTTGAAGTGGCGCGGCAGCGAGCGGGACGAGGTCTGCTGCTGCTGCTGCTGCGTGGCCTTGCCGCTCGACATCTCGGCCAGGTACTGCGACTGTCAGAGCGGAGGGAGGTGGGGTGTGAATTACTTTGCTGCGCCGGAGCGAAATGCACCTCATCAAGGGATAACGGCATTTGCGCCGTACTTTTGTGAAAGTTAAATAAAAAAGAACATTTATATAGATAAACAATAAAAAACACGACGAAAGTCATATAGAATGGAAGCTGAGGTTTGTCACTTGTCTCTAATGAGAACCAGTCATGCTGAACTGCAGAGCAAGCACAGCTCATCCGAGACCCAGCCCCATCAGGCCGGCGTTGCCGGGCGCGCCGCCTACCTGCAGCGTGTGCATGGTGTCGCAGGTGGCCCGGTCGTCCACCCGCTCGAAGAACGTGTAGGCGAAGCCGTAGAGCCTGCTGCCGTCCTCCCGCGTGATGATGAAGCTGTGGAACGACGGCGACAGGCTGTGCTTCTGGGTGCGGAACTGGAGACCGCGCGGCAGCGCCAGCTGCGAAGACAGCGGGGCGGGGCCGTCAGTACAGGCCGGGGGACAGAGCCAGAGGGACAGTCACGCCAGCAGAGGACAGACATGAGACAGACAGGAGACGACGACTGCTGGGGAGACAGCGGGGTGGGGCAGTCAGCAGGGGGCAGGATTAGCTACAGGCAGAGCGGGAAGGCGCTCGGGCACAGCTGTCGCGCGCTGCGACACGCCTTCAGTGCCGGGATCTCTGCTGCGCGGCCTCACGATGCCTGCTGCAAAGCAAAAGAGCGGACATCCCCAGCACATCCTGCTGACGCGCCCGGATCATTCTATCGGCATGAATCCCGGCTCCGGTGTCCATGCGGTCTCTCCAGAGCCGATAACCTACCGTCGCGGAAAATGTCACGGGGGAACACCTTCACCACCACCACCAACAACAACAACAACAACAACAAAAACGAAGCCGTGTTATGGCAACCAGACGTCAGACAGGAGTACAAAATAACAGGCATAAAAAGGGACCACAGAATCAATAAACCATCCTTTTGAATCAATAAACCACCCTTTTCAGTGGTGCTAACTGTACTAAGATCCAATCATTTAGATAGGACCTCAGTACAGCAGGACGATTCCCCGTATCCCGCTTCATCCCGCCCTGGCCCGTCCCCCGCCACGCGGGCCGCTCACCATCCGCGTGGCGTCTGGATCGAACACGGGCTCTGTTCGTGTCTCCGGGTAGTGGCCGATGATGTCGGCCGTGTAGGCGCGCTCCAGGGGACTCTGCTGCACGCTGGCGTCCGCTGCCGGCCGCGCAGGGCGGAGGGCAGTGTCAGGAGGGGCTAGGGATGGGGTGAGAAACATTGCGAGGCAAGCAACGCCACCTGAGCTGCAACTTCAGTGGATTGAAGGCTTCTACATACATCAATGTTATCAAATTAAGCAGCTCAAAATACAACTTGAAGTGGAACAAAAAAGAGGGATTATTTGCATGGCCAGGGCTGGGTATAAACAGTCATAGTCAATCATCTACCTACCAGGAATGTCTAGATGTTTGTATTTGTTAATGGACCCTTACCTGCCACTGTGTCATTCTGAAGTCCTTTTGAATAATTAATGCCACAAATGAAGAAGTACTCTGCTAGTCTCTTGCTTGGCATTGTCATGCTTATTGCTTATATGCCTTTTTCACTACTTAGATAGCATTTGATTCCAAGTACTGCAGATGAACATAGTTAGCATAAAAAGCCTGCAATGGATGGCACTGGAGTATGTCCAATCATTATTTATAGTCTTCATAGGGCTCATCAGCCATCAGCATATCCACCATAGAAGTACCAATGCTAGAAATATGTAGGTAACTCCTGAAAATAGGGTAACTCTCTGAACACATGATTACAGACACACATGATCATCACATGGTCAGTTATGAGAAAGGAGGCTGAAACTTATTCATTTCTATCTAAAAGCACAAAAATATAATATACATTCAGACTACAATCAGCTGTCAGTAGACAGATGTCCATATTTCTGTGTGCTTTAGGTGTGCGAACACACATAGCCAAGATGTTAATGCTCAATGATAGATGGGGTAAATAAATATAAAATAGGAAAGTAGGTAGCCAAGCTTGGCTGGTTGAATGATACCACTGACCCATGATCCAGCAACACACACTGATGTGTCATTTTTGAGGCAGAGTATTAGATGTTTGGGCAAAAGCTAACAGTCAGTGCCCTGGCCTGGTCTGATGGCTTTAAAGTGTAAACTGTTTAGTAGGCACTGGTACCCATCCATGCACCAAGAAACAACAGTAAGCCAGCAGATTCAGGGTTGCCTTCTCTCCAGGTCACTTCACTTGGCCTTGCTTACATTACAATTTGGAAACCCAACCAACTACCAAGTGAGTAAGCAGGGTAAGCACTAAGCAGTATGCTGAAAGAATGGTGATACAACAGGACTCTCTTGTTAATGTGAAAGTTCAAGTTTTGGATGAGTGGACAAGACCTTAGCAATCAAAAAAGATAAATGCAGTACTCTTAGGTTCGGTAAATCTGTCTCATGGTGGATGCCCTCGGCAGTTTGAGCTGCCAGCTGATGTGCAAACCAGCACGAGAGCAGTGTGCAGTGTGCACTATTCCACATTCAAACGGGTGGATATTTGTGGCGAGTTAGGGTAGCACAAGCTTTCCCAATTCCGTGCAAGCTTGGCTTTGGAGCTGCAACAGACGGCGGAGGTCAAGGTCACCGCTAGCCGCTAGGGCAGAGACAGATTTGCTACGCCAGTGCTACCCCAACTCAGCACATTTGTCGGTAACGGTGGGGCAGGCGTCACCAATAGCTTTCTGTTGTAAACAAACAAGGTTCATGCATTATTAGGGCCCGAACGCATATAACATTTACGCGAGATTACCCACAATGCTCGTACACGTTGATGACGTCACTGGTGGCTAAAATAATTGGTATGCTCGATCTAAAAGCACTATTGATGCAGGGTTTTCTATTGTTATGAGAACTTTGATATGCAAAGCGGAAAATCACACGTGAAAATGACTTTTGAGCTCTCTAACAAGATTGAGATCGCGGTTCGAATCCCATCGGCGGCAATAAATTGCCGTGCCTTTTATCGAGTTTTGCAATCCGTTATTAGATCGGGAGCTTATTTTCACCGGCGAATTGGATAACCGTTGTCTCTGATGGCTGTATCTGACCTACCTAACCTAACCTAACCTAACCTTACCTAACCTAACCTAACCTAACCTACTGATTTTTGCCTACCGGGCATAAATAAACCTAACCTAACCTAACCTAACCTAACCTACAGATTTTTGCCTACCAGGCATAAATAAACCTAACCTAACCTACTGATTTTGCCTACTGTAAGTTACTCCCAGGAATAGATTGCAGGTAATAGTAAGTCAAATATTTTAGGTGAAGTGGTTATGCATCAGGCTTCAGGCCTTCGGCCTGAAGCCAGATACACAACCACTTAACCTAAAATATTTGACTTACTATTGCCTGCAATCTCTCCCACGAGTAACATTGCCTACGGCAATGTACTGTTACGTCACGTGTTTAAGTCGAGCACGGGGAAATACATCACTTAACAGTTCCCGCCAGGGCATATCAAATAAAACTACGTTACTCCGCCGCCGAAAATAGACCTTCGATCTATAAAAGAATTTCAAAATATGTTAAATATGCCCGGCTAATTCTTGCCGCCGAGCCGGTGGGGTTCGAACCGGCGATCTCAGTCTCATTTTAGAGCTCAAAATGCATTATCACGTGTGATCTTCCAGTTCCGCAAATCAAAGATCTCATATCGATTGAAAACCCTGCATCGATAGTATGCATAGATCGAACTGCCACCAGTGACGTCATCAACGTGTCCGAGCATTGTGGGTAATCTCACGTAAATGTTTTATGCATTTGGGCCCTAATAATGCATCAACCTTGGCTGTTTACAACAGAAAGCTGTTGGTGACGCCTGCCCCACCGTTACCCATTTGTCCACCCCCGCATTCAAACACACTACCTCTATGTCAGATGCCCAGCAAGACAAAAACACACTTTCATGAAAATTTGTCTTGAGAATAAGGACACCAAAGACCACAAAGAGGGGGAATTCGCGATATTCTGGGGCACATTTAGTCCGCTTTCGTGTTCATAGTGAAAGTGGACATGTCAATTTATATCTGTATAATGAAGGAGTATACAGAACAATCAGCCCATGAATCTGTGCATGTACACACTATCTTTGTCTTCTTTTAATGCATGCAGGATTAAATTCACGCAAAATTAAGTCAGATATGATGATAACCTGCGATCAATTACAATTATTTTTGTTGAGGAACTGAAGAACAAACAGATTCAAGGATCCATAAAATGCTGTATGTCAGATTTCGGTCAGTTTGAAGATGGAATTAACCCATGCTACCAAATTGCAGAAAATTTGTCCCTCAGCAAGTGAGGAAGTTGAGTGAACACAATAAAGTCTAAATTCAAAAGTTGATTTTCGATTAGGGAAAAAATCTAAAATATCCACTATGACTACATAGGCAAGTTCACTGGTGCAAGTCGATGTGAACTGAACTAAAATGTTTTGTTGTTCAGACTCTCCAACTCGCTGCTGTAAAACTGCCAAGCAAAAATGTTCCACGCCTTTCCGCAGGTTCAAAAGTTATAAGAAAAATCAGAATTTCTGAAAGTTTATGATTTTGTGAGAGTTAAAAATATTGATAATCTTTGGGAAAAAATACTTCATTTTTCATGCATACTTCACATAACTTCCGTTACATATTTATTTACTAGCCGCAATCGAATGTCTCGTTTTTGTTCTATGCTTTGTCACTTTTATGCTCATTCACGCTGTCAGCAGTAACTCAAGATGTAATTGGTCACAAATTTGGTGGTGCTGAGCGTGTACAGCACCGACGGCACAAAGAAAACACTTTTTTCTTATCTTTGTGTCGTATGTTGTCATGTGATTGGAATGATAACAATCGATCTCTGAAGGGCTGAGGAGAGGCGTTCTGTGAAAATATACGTTCGTGACAGGAAAGGTAATAAATCGACAATTACTTCGTTTCCATGGCACAAGTGAAGAAGATTTCGTCAAATGGGTTTCTCACTTCATCATATCACTTAGCCGTCCTTAAACATTGTAAATATAGGATGAAGTGCTAGCTAAAGCCATAGGTTTATTGGTATATGCTCATTTTTCGCATAAAGGAATGGTATCCTAGAAAAATATGTGAAATTTCGCTATAATGATTGAGACGTGAGTCTATATAAGTTTTCATTGAAAGGAGCCGGTTGCACTACTGGGCTTATAATGCAAACTCGGATAATGAATTCACGCTTGTGCTACAGTTGTAATATTTACCATAAGATGTGTATAAAAATGTTATAGATTTGCCTGTTTTTTCATGTTAAAACATTTGCACGCGAGTCATATCCCAAAGTGTGGGACACCCAAAACTGCCAAGCAGAAAACTATAGCGTAGATTTGGAGAAGAAACCAGTGCGGTACATGGAAGACCAATCACAGGGCTCCCTGAACTCAAGTTGCCTGACTTTCAAAGTTTTTATCTGCATAATTTCCATTATCAGGTGCATACCTAATCCGGTGATATTGAATCTTACAAATCACAAAAAATCATCAAATTGTGAGAATCAACAATCAAACATGCTTGTGTTACACCACTCAACAAGTCATAGGTTGGCAAGTTTTGTGTGAGTGAGCTCATTTGTATGTAAATGTGACTGTCACTTTCTATTTCTGTTGCAGGCCATCAAGATGGGCATTGACTGGATCCCTGTGGGCAGTGTGACTGCCTTCTGGCTGGTGGTGGGAGGTGTCCTGCCATTCTTTGTGTCCAAGAGCAGCCCACACCATGGCATCACAAAGGCCTGTCTGATAATGACTGCCTTTGTGTGCTGGATGTTCTGGCTGTACTGCTACATGGCCCAGATGAACCCACTCATTGGACCTGAGATGAAGATCAACACACTATTACTGGCCAAGAGGTCATGGGGACAGTTTTAAATGTCATGACAAAATCAAATGGATGTGTCAGAAAACAGCCTGGAGTATCTGCATGTGCTGCAATGAACAGAAGGGCAGGCTGGATGATTTGTGAGATGACTTAAGAAGTGCGCTGTGATGCAAACCAATCAGTAGGGGATCAAGTTGGCATGTTTTGATATTGATGAAACCTGGTGGATAATTGCAAGTTTGTTCTAGGTGTGCACGAGTTTCAGGAAATGACAGTCCTGAGCTGCTCAGTTATAATCTTATATGTAATCTGCAACTCCTTGTTTATCCACCGTCCTGTGTCAAGTGTTGTTACCGACCAAGATATTTGTACCGTGCCTTATTAAATAAATGTTTTATCGTGTATATGAAATGACTGGAAACCTTTGAAGTGTGTCATATCGCGAGCGCTATTGAAGAACCTTTCAGTAGTATTACACAAAGCTGAAAGCTCAGGTTTTCGTGGGAATTTCGCCGGCGCTCAGAGCTGGGGCCCACCGTTTACGGGACACTTCACGGTCCCCTCCAGACGGTGTCCGACTAGTCACGTGCTCGCCGCGATATCCCCTATCCCACTAGCTACGAGTCTGTCCACGCCTCCCGCCTGTATACCTGACTATATTATACAACATCGTCACTCAGCACTCGAGTATATGGAATGTCTTCACTACACCACTGCAACACGTCACTGACTGCCGAGTCCTCAGTCTATACACATCGATCGCTACGGATATCGAACGCCTTTGTCAGCTGCGGATATGACCACCGCAAATATCGGCTCACCCTCAGCTTCACGCAAAATACATCAATCCCGCCTGAGAGACTTAGACGTAATCAAATCAACAGGCTGTCACTTTGAATACCTACTCGACATTTCCGGACAGTCATTTTTTCAGGACGCACAAAACATGTTGTTAAACATGGTCACATAGTCACAAGATACATTGACCACACACTAGACAAGAATATGATATTTGAAACACGCTAGCTTTTGCCGGTCGAGTCCGTCGCGCCCTCGTTCTTATCGCTACTGGAGCCCGCGGCTGTCGGTTTTTCCGACTCGGTCGACGAGTTCTGAGACAGAAAATCCAGCAGCCTCTGCTGCAGGTTCGAGTTTTTCTCCTCGAACTCGTCCAGGGCCATGTTGAGGAAGTCCAGCTGGGAGTTGAGCCTCTCCATCTCCTGGCGCTCCGCCTCGGTCAGACCGCCGATGTCCTCCTCCTCCCCCTCCCCATCCTCGCCCTCCTCGTGATCGACGTCATCGGGAGGCGACTGCTGCTCCTCCGACTCGTCAGTGTCGGAGGAGTACGGCTCTTTGGAGTCGCACTCAGCGGCTGCACTCATGGTCTGCATCAGATGTACTCAGCTCCTCCAGCTGAAATAGGGAGAGAACCAAGTCACAACACCATTCACCAACATCAGATGTTTTGCACAAAATTACCAAAAAACAAGAGTTGGTGAAAACAAAACTGCATGTCAAGACAAGCATTTTGAATAACCCTGAATAATAAAATTGTCATGCATCATAAATAACTTAAAACAGCATCTTAGCAGTTGTACACCCCCCCCCCCCCCCCGGCCTGGCTGGAACCCTCCCTAGACCCAAGCTCATTTGGTCATTCATAACTCAAGATATTGCCTGGTTGAAAATGGAGGCTTCTTCATCAAAATCCAGCGTGTTTGGCCAGCTCATCGAGAATGGGAGAAAGCTAGCCCCAAGCAACTTTGAGGTTCCATAGGGCGAGATATTTGATGCAAAACTAAAGCACTGATGGAATAAGAGTGGTAGTGTCTAGTGTGTCATCGAAATGTACCTTGTGGTAATGTTAAATAAAGGCGATGAATACAATGGTCTGAGCGTTCAAAAAAAAAAAAATCAAATTGACAAACAGTGGAACAATTTTTAAGTTGTTATATAAATAGTCAATCAACTCAACCAGACCACCCCAAACAACAAAATCGAGAGTGAACAGAAAATATGCAAGAACTTCATCAAAACTTTATTACCTGTCATAAAATGGTAAAAATAATAGTGCAGCTATTACCTATACCAGCTATATCAATATTGATACTGATATCCCATCCCTGGACCCTGGGTGACCAGAGGACTTACAGACCTTACCACTTATCAGATGTGAAGACCACGGCAGCAAATAGGCAGCTATTTTAATATCTTTCAAACGACTGGTTGAAACAGAATATACAAAATGATAACCTATAAGCAGAAACCACTGAAACCACCCAATCCCACTGCGCCAATTTCGTCCCAAAAGATCACGCGCTTCGGAGCTGGCGTCACCTTTTCAAGAAATGCATTACCACTGGTTATTGGAGTCGCCGCCAGGGCCACGCTCCAGTCCGCGGTTGGCCACCCCTTTCCCGCCCGTCCCGGGCCGTTTCACGCTATACCCTGGTTTCACGGCCGCTGCTCAGGCACGCTGCCAGCACACGTGTCAAATTGGGTTCCCATGGAGAGATCAACAGGCTCGGACGCTCCAACGTTTGTTATAGGCATCTTGGCTCCAACATTGAGTGACTTGACCTGCACAACATGTGACGTTAGCTCGCAAATGCGCTGGCAGCGTGGTAGCAGCAGTAGCATCCGTGAAACACCGTCCAGTGGGGAGCTAGGCGTCGTGAAACAGGCATTGGTTTAATGCTGTGACTGATCAGTTCATACTATTCTTTTAAGCATATATATCTCACGTTTAATGCTGTCCAAATCATTTAGGTAGTACGCCCTCAGTAACCTGCTAGCTTATTAAGGCCAATATCATTATGTAACGCTGTATTCACAACAAATTCCGAGCTCTAACGATCAGGAACATTCCTTTCCAGACCCTACCATCTAGTTTCAACAGCGCAGTTACAAAGTACACGATCAAAAACTAGCGGTTCGATTTCCACAGCGCAAAATACACGATGAAATCGATTTTATCACAGGCACACACTATCAACTCCGCACACTGGAACGTTTTGACAACGCCTCGACCTAGCATTACCGCTAATTTCACTCCGGTTCAATAGCTCGACATGAGTTAGTATATGTAATGTTACGCTAAGCGCAGTCGCACCCTGCAGTGTAGCGCAGCGCCGACCCGTGCAGCAGTTAGCGGCGCTCGATATCCGTCGGTTCCAACCCCACTGTTTGAGCTCCACCAGATAGCACTGGTCACCTTCGAGCCTCAGGAATCGCCCGAGAACACACGGCAAATTTGACGCTCTAACATACTGGGCTAATTATAAACATCGGTGTTATTTGCAGGAGCAGTGTGGGCTGTTAAAAACGCGCTAGCTTTAGACCGATGAGAATTACTTAGTGAATGAAAAGTTGTTTAACTTACACAAATTGATAGAAAGCGGATACACATGAGACCAAAAAAGGCAGTGACCGGTGGTCGACGACTCCTTCATTCTCACTGGTTATTTGTCCCCCCCCCCCTCACCTGAGCTACTCCTCTGGTGTTTGGCGCCAATAAAGCGGACCCACCACTCACCCACCCTCTCCACACCCCTACAACTGACACCGCTCGGTCCTACACCTCTACCGCAACAGGACTAGAGCGCAAAGCGCAGCGCGCCGCGGACCGGACGAGTTTCACCTTCTGACGGCGCCTCAGCACCCCTCTGCGCCGACCTAGTCTTTCCGGCTGCTCGCAGTACCCACGGACGCGCGGCATGCGACCCGTAGCCGCTCAGAACTTACAGCCGAGGTACTGGTTCTCCTCGCGGAGTCGCTCCACCTCCGACTTGAGAGTCTCGATCGTCGACACTACGCCCTGCAGACTCGTCTGAAAACGCGCACCGAAAACGTTACTGCGGTTGGCGGTCGATACTGCAGGCTGACGTTGTTACAGAGGACGGTGGAAGTTACTAGGGCTGGTGGCGCGACGCCCATGACGCAAAAATCGGCTAACTGCACTGTGCCGGTCATTTTGTCACGGGATTATCACATCAAATATGATATGTGCTAAAACAGTAAACAAGTGGCAACACAAACACCTGGGGCTTAACGGGTGAAGTAAGTGTTTAACCAAATTTTCGACGTTAAATATGAACAAGTGAAAAACATCCAAGACCATTTTGACTGCCGCCAGCACCAAACACTGGGGTACAGTGAGCTGCTTGGAATTGTGCACAGTCGCATAATCCCTCCCAGACCGCCACTCACTGCTGACGTACCTTCATCTCATACATGTGTTTGCCGAAGGTCCACTGTGTGTTGAAATTCTCTCGCCTCAGGCCCCACCACATATCGTCCATCATTTCATGCAGACCTCTGTCGGACAGAGCAGGCAGAGTTAATTATAAGACCAGAACGGGAGATGCTAGACAGAACGGGTGGCGTTATACGGACAATATGTACGTTGACATACTCATACGCAAAGATAATAGAGTGCCGGATAAGAACCGCAAGTGGTGAAAGATTTCAGCGATTTCGACGAGAATTAAAGCTATTATGAGCAAGCGATACAAAGAAGCATCGCCGCCGATCGACTCACTCTAGTTTCTCGACGACGGAGTGCGGCACCGGCTCCGTGTGGGTCTGGGGCTGCTGCTGCTGCGGCTGTGTTGGTCCCTTGCCGTCCTGGTGGCGCGGCGCGGCGGCCGGCGCCGGTCCACCGAACGCCAGCTCCGCCAGTACGTCCCGCCGCTGCTCGCCGTCCGCCGGTCCGTCCAGCAGAGCCAGCAGCCGGTCCGAGCTGCTGGACGCGTCTCCAGCCGCCCCGCCGCCGCCCGGGGCCGGGGCGGGAGCGGGGGCGGGGGCGGCGCCGTCCGGGCCGGGCCGGCCGCCGCGGCACACCTCAGCGGCCACAGTGACTCGGGTGGCGGCCGCGGGGGCCGGGCCGCTGCGCTCCACGCCGTTCAGCCGCGGGGACAGGACCGGGGTGGTCGGCTGCACGCCACTCTCCCCGTCCCGGACGCTGAGCCCGTTGAGCAGCGGCGCCGGTGGCGGGACGACCTCTGCGGCCGACTCGCTGGCCAGAGAGCGGTCCGGCCGCAGCGGGGAGAACAGCGAGTTGTCGGTGGCGGCGGCCGGCGGCCGGTCCGGCGGGGTGACCACCGACTCAGCCGGCCCCGTCCCCGAGGAGGCCGCTCCTCCCGTGGACAGGCTGATGTTGCCCCGCATTGGGGAAAACACACTGGAGTCGCGACCACCTGCCGACCAGGGGACGGTGTTAGCTCAGCGACACGGCTAGGAACGAAAACTGCGAGCGACAGCAGGTCGACTAGCTTCCTGGGCGAAGACAGTTATTTTCTCAAGCTGTTAGTGATCGCTAGTTACGTCTTAAGCATAGGTAACGGCAATGATATCCCTCCTCCAATCATACTGCTGCAATAATCATGGTCATCTACAGCCTACCCACCGGCATACATATGGCGCATTATGGACACCGAACCAATATCGACCTCCAAAACTGCATCCATCCCATAAGCAAACTCGTCGGGCCGTCCTCGTGACACGACGTACCGTAGTGAACCAAGGTGCCTCCGTGAGCAGTGCCGTTGGGCGTGCTATCCGTCTGAGGCGGAGTGGTGACTTTCTGACCGGGCTCCTCGCGGATCGGTGAGAACAGCGAACTCTGCTCGGCAGAGACGTGGCCGAACCTGGGCCACAGAGGTAAGTGGTCACTGGTCAGTGGTCTTTACAGTTTCAGCGGTGATATAAGACAATGATACAGGTCGAGCAGTGGTTACATTATGGGCCGTAGGTCGCAACAGTATGTGCCCAATGGTACTCGGTGGTCATCACGTTTACAGGATTAAAAACGATATTCAGTTGACTCTCAACGCTTTGGCACACAAATTCAGTCAGCATCTCCCAGCCCCGTCCCCCCTCCCCCCCCCCCGGTCAGTACCCCGCTCCGCGCACCTGACATGGCTGGTGTCCCCGGCGGCCACGGGCGGCGTCCGACCGTCCTCGTTGGGAGTCGAGTGCACGCGCGCCGTCACCGACGTCGACGAGGAGCGCGCCACCGGCGTGGCCACCTCGTCGGCCGTCGACCGGGACGAGTGCTCGTGCGCGCTGCCCACCGAGCGACTCTCGCGCGCCACCGAGCTGCTCGACGAACGGTGCTGGCCCTGACGGAACGGAGGTGAGGTACTCGTGAGCAGCTGGGCGATGGGACGGTTCGATGGTGAAAATATACACTTCAACCCAAGTGGGCGATAAAAATACTTTTGAAAGAAAATGGTCTGCCAATGCCAACGAAATGTATCGACATTCGTCGACCAATGGCTAGTGTAGTCGCCAACCAAAAAACGAGACAGCTTTAGTCGGCGGTTTCAGGCGTAATCTGAGGACGCTTCGGCTTAACCACACCGATGGGGACATAAAGTTTAATATGCTCTCCTCACCTTGGCGGGTGGCTGGAACTGGACGCGCTGCACGGAGCTGCGGTGGGCAGTGAAGGAGCGGCTGGGCCGGCGCGGCGCGCGCAGGTCGTACACACACGCCCGGCCCTGGGAGGTGCCCACGGCCAGCTGCATACCGTCACCATGGAAATCGACCGCCGTCAGGGGCGCGTCGCCAGTCAGCGTCTGAATTATACTGCCGGAGGGGGAGGGGCGGTGTTAAAGAGACTGGGAGATGGGCGAGCGTTAGTGATCAATTACGACGCGCGCGACACATATTCTAACGTCGAGAGGTCATAATATAGCAAATGTATTGACTTCATTATAAGCAGAAATAAAGCATTAACCACACCAAAAAGCTTCACATAGCAACTCTGAATATTAGCTTCTAAAAAACGTAATCAATTATACATAACGTCGGCCACGTTTTTCGGCTCCCACGTCACCAGTCTCACCTCTTGCTCTTCGGATCATAGCAGACGAGCCGTTTGTCGAGCCCCACGCTGGCCACCAGGATGTCGTTGACGGGCGAGAACGCCAGACCCGAGGCCGGCGCCACATGACCGCCGGTGAAGGTGCGCAGCAATCGGCGCTGGTTCACGTCCCACAGCGAGACGTGGCCGGTGTCGAACGCGGCGCCCACCACGGCCGAGGACAGGGCGCTGTACCGCAGGTCCCGCACGCACTGCGGCTGTGAACAGAGAGAGAGAGAGAGGGTCAGGTACCGCGCTGTACCGCAGGTCCCGCACGCACTGCGGTTGTAGGAGGGGAGAGGAGGTCGAGATCAGTTGTCCGGGCGAAACTACGATACAAAAGTAGCTGACAGCCTCACCGGTCGGACGGACACTATCGGACGGTCGTCGAGACTAAAGATCCGTAATGTCCGTCACATTTAACACATATCGGCCACATTCATATAAAAAACAGCATTTGCGTGACCTTGTGACAAACCAAGTGTCATTGCTTATGCATCATTTCACTGATTTCTGAAAGATCAGTGACGCCGTAGCCGACCGTTGCGCGATCCGTACCTCGTTTCTGGCGGTGGGCAGCTCAGTGACGAAGCCGCTGGTGACGTTATGAACCAGCACCTGACCGGACCGAGAGCCCGACGCCACGTGCCGGTCCGAGGCGCTGAAGCACACCCGCGTCACTGGCGCACTGTGGCCCTGTGGGCAGGCAGCGCGATGTCATCGGTGAGAGCGATCAAATGTAGAACGATCAAAGTTGAGCGCCGTATGACGACTCTTGTTCATACATAAATACAAATTATTTATAATCTAACTTGCTGGCATTCATTCATACACACAGTCAATTAATTCAAAAGTACGACTTAGATACAGTAAAATAAGCACGAAGATGAGTGAACGAGATTATATCAGTTAACTCGAGCGGTAAAAAAAGACGATGATTAACATTACGGATCGATAAACCCGGCTTCGATAAACCTAGTAGAAACGAAACTTTCCGAGTTCTCTTAAAATGACCTTAGTTTCAAAACAACGCACTTGGTAGTGTTTGACGAGCTTGCCGTTCTTGTTGTCCCAGAGCTCGACGCTGCCCGAGTGGGAGCCGACGCAGACGTAGCGGCTGTTGGAAGTGCAGAACCGGCAGCACGTCGGCTTCGCCTGTCCACAATAAAATGAACAAAATCACAGATGAGTGCAATTCAGTAATCATATCGTCAGCGTCTACGGGACGAGTACGACGATTATTTTGCCATTTAGACGCTGAGGACGTCGATATAATTAGCGACCATAGACGTGATTTGTCCTTGCTTTTGTGATATCCATTACATTTGGCTGGATACCAAATATTTGTCACATAATCTGATGGGAGGCGTACCAGTTCTTTGACGACAGTGAGCTCCTGGGTGCCCTCGCCTGTGACTCCGGTCACCACCAGAAGTGCCTGCCTGCTGGTAACGCTGGCCACCATCCCTCCATCTCGGCTCCACGAGACGTCAGTCACCACATCGTCTGAAAGGGACAAGGTCACATAAAATGACCATATATTAATCAGTCTTAACACATATCGACACCTCTCTGACCAATTAGTAATGCTGAATACCCCCACTGGAAAATGTTCAGGCATGAGAATAGGCCAGAGAAGGGTCACATAATAGGTCCCCCTCAACAGGACCTAAACAAGGATTCACTCAGTTCAAGTGTCATACATTTAGATCACAAAGCCAATCAACAGTTTAACAGAGAAAAGGGATCCTAGCAGCATAAAACAAGTAGGTACAGCCTTTTGGAAAATCAAGCCAAATAAATTGGTAATTAACCTTTTAACATACCTTTGGTGTTATTTGGATGGAACTGGTGAAGAAGAGAGTAGCCATTGGAATCCCAGATCTTCACATTGTCTCCACATGTGATGAGGTTCGGAGACATCATTTCAAAGCAACTGCAACAATCCACAGAACCTACATCATTATAAATTTTTTAATCAAATTGAATTGTTTGAGCAGCCTGCTTCATAAAATTGTTATTAGTCATAATTATGCATTATTTCCCTGATGTATTTGCTTTATTGCCAGCCCAGACTTAAATCTTACATCAAATTACTTTAAACTATTTAATTATAGCATTTCTGGTTTCTGCAATCCAATTAATTTCACTGACATTCCACTAACATCAATAACAATAATGGCCATTTGAACTGGTAACAGTATCTATGTTTGCTTTCCTTTTTTAAAAATATGGCAGGTAACTCAACCCTAACAAAAAAAAAATTAATTGTTAGGTACACAACATGTGTCCCTAACTCTCCCAGATAGCCTTAGTGCAGTACATTGTTGGGTATTATACCACACACCTTTTCACAGATTTTTTTTAATAAGCTTGCCGATCTCCTAATTTACCAGGTACCAGCTGTCTAAAAGCCTGAATTTTCAGCCCATTCCGCCATTCTGTCATATGTTACTCGAATACTCGTACAAGCCTTTCAGTGACCTGAGGGCTAGAACTATGGGTATTTTGATGTTCCCTGAAAAAACGGCACTCTCGATGATTGAAAAAGTGCCGATCAGCTCACAGTTTCAGAGACATAAAATGCTACAAATTGATTACTTTGTGATTCGAGAATGTCTGTTAGGTACCTTCTGTTCAAATCAATAGCTAAAGGCCTTTTAAAACATGCTATTCTTATGAACAATTCAACCAGATGATATGTAACCTGACACATCCAAGATTATCAACGCACCAATAAATTAGAAATGAACAAAAACGACTTTTTTCAAATCACAAATACCGATCGATATCCACAGTCCACACGGTTGCCCCTCTTGGCCGTGGCAGCGCGGGAAATTAGTTTGAAATTAGTTTGTAGTAGGATAGTTGGTAGGGATAATTCAGACCATAATTCAGGACTATATATTTTGTCTGACAACAATTTTCTCATCTTGCAGCAAGATGAATTAATGGTCATGATTATGAAAACAAATTAATGATTATTTACTATAATCTTTAAAAAAATATCCAAATAGGACATGGAAGTAAAGCTGGAAGTAAAATTATCATACTAGCGTACTAAACATCTGGCAGCTACTAGTGGATCGATTAGAGCGGCAACTTTCAATAGTGTCCTCCCTGCATAGAACGTGCATTGCTTAGAGCGCGTCGTGGTTCAACGAATATGCGGCACAGCACACCTACTACTCCCTACTACCGAAACTGAATCCTGTTCAAATTATATCCAAGAGCTTTATAGGATATTCGGCATACTCGTTCTTTTTTGGAAGCGTAGTGCATACTGCATGGGTTGGTATTTGGGAACCCCAGCCCATGGCTGAGCGTTTTTTATTTTTGTTTTAAGAAGGTCGATGCGCAACCCATGGTAGATAGTTGTTTATCGAGCGTCAGAGGGATGGGTTTCGAGGTCCAACGGCACGCCTTGGCATATTGTCAGCGGTCTGGGCGACCTTATAATTTGCCTTGGAGATTCGTGAGCATTGCCACTGGACTCGAAATTGGAACTCCCGCGGATCCACTATCTGAACGTTCCCGTCTCAATATCCTACGTTCATCACCGAGCATTGATGTCACAGCAAATCGCATCGCGAGCGGAGAAATGTGAAGCAAGTTGACCAGGCAGCGGTCCTAAATGTCCTAGTGGGCCTCGCGTGTTGCAACGTGGTTACGATTGGAACACACTATCGGTAGCTTTCAGATCACATTCTTCAGGCAATTGCAACTGGTCGGTGTTTGCTCCGATGATTGGTTACGACACAATGATATCACCATGTTTTCGCTTTGCCATATGTAATCATGTTTTTCTCGACCCTCACATCACTCCCACCAAGCTCTCCCCGTCCCCCGGTTCGTGAGTGAAGACACGTTGCCACGGGAAGGTGACGTGTATTTCAACAGTTGATGGCATGGAGAGAGACGTGTGGTGAGAATCGGTGACGGCCGCACCGTTCCGCCGCTTCGGCCCGGCCTGTCCTACTGAGATCACAGATGGAGCATTAGCGCATCTTGTACTTGCGACTCTCCTTCACTGAGCACAGCTCGCCGTGGAAGCTGAACTCTATGTGGAAGTCCAGATCGCGCTGAAATGGCGGAGAAAGTCAGTTAGCGGGATCGTCAGAGATCAGAGCTATGTAATACATACATCATCGAGGTAACAGTAGGTACAGATGGTCGGTTTCGCAGCTAGACCGAGTGGAGTTGTTGGCTATGTCATTGACATTCTCAGCGATAGTTTCACGAGTTCCATTATTCGGAAGAACGCAATGAAGAAACAAAGACTTCTGACTTGTAAGAATTCGGGTAAAAAAAAATGAAAAGAAACCACCCAACCATACAAGCTCGCGCAGAAACGGGGAGACACTCGACTAAATCAAGTCAGTTACTCACGTTGTTCTTCTCGTTGGGCTTCATGGCGAATGTGCCGTTGATCATCTCGCCGCTTTTGCAGGTCAGCTGATCGGTGGTGTAGAAGACAGTCTGTTTCCAGTGCGTGTACCGCGCCTCGGGACCTGTAGCAGCAGCAGCAGGCGTCAAGTCGTGCCACGCGCAGCGGACACTGTGACGCATCGTAAATACCTACTTGCTTTCGGGAACTTTGAATGGCGTCCGGTACAGTGACGGGTACGAATTACGAATTACGAATTACAAATTACGGGTACAGCTTGTGATTTTCATAGTTAACCGCTCATTTTACGATATTTTTCGACAAAGAAAAAATATTGAATAGTGAACCTGTCAATGATCATGTTAGGCGGAAAGTAGATCTATGAATGTAAATATTCGGTGCAAAAAGCAGATAGAAAAGCGAGATAAAGTTTTTGAGAAAAATGTTCACTGCTGAAAGATGTAGCCCTGAATAGGAACCCGGTCAGACGCGCACCTGTGCTGAAGCCGACGCGCTTGTGACACTTGGTGAACTCGATGTTGAAGTAGGTGACGAAGGCCTGGATGTAGTCGCTGCGGCGCACCTTGAGCGCGAAGGGCGCCGTGAAGGCCAGCTCCTCCTTGGTGATGGTGGCGAGGTCAACCTCCTTCAGCAGACAGCTGTTTGTCACGATCTGCGGAAAATAAAAACAAACACAAATTATCGGTGAGTACCTCACATATTTTCCACTCTGTTCAGAAGTACATATTCATATACAATTATTAATTACACGGACCTGGGAATGACGAAACGCGTATGGGAACAAGATCAAACAGAATGCAGTAGGCATGAGGCTACCTTTCGAACATTTACAAACCAAACATTCCAGTCTCGGAATATCATACCACACCCTCTAGACTTCATGAGCAACTGACCTGTTTGGGGTCTACGACGTCGACCAGCGGCTCTGAGACGGCCACCTCTCGGATGCAGCTCATGTCGAAGCCGTACACGTCGTCCCACCAGTTGATCTTGGTCTCCTTGTACTGCTGGTCCTGGGAGACGGAGACCGCAGCGGACGTTAGAGCGGCGGAGGGTGGGTGAAATTAGTCAGACGACGGGTATAATCAATGTATTTTTAGATCGTGACCGTGTATCGAATCAAACAGCGCGACAACCCGCTACGAATTGACGACTACCAGCAGCAAGCTAAAGCTCAACAAGTCGGTGCGTAAGCCAAGCTGCCTGTGGACTAGATTATAAAAGCCGTGCAAGGTGAAATAGCAATACAATAAGGTGGTGGCCATTTGGGTACGTCTTAAAAAAAAACTGGGCTAATAATCAGCATAGCCAGAAGCCACGCCGGCAAAACACACTAACAAGTAGCAAACCAAACATCCCACGCTAGCGTCACACAGCGCGCAGCTCTCTGACGAAGCCCCGCGTCAGACTCTCAGCGAACCTCGATAGCTGTGACGTAGAGTGTGGCGCGGTCGGGGAAGAGCATGCCGTCCTCCACCAGCCACTTGTCGCGGGCGTACAGCACCGTGTCCAGCATGGACTCGTAGAAGAGGCAGTAGCCCATCCACTCGCTGATGATGATGTCGACCTTCTCGACCGGCAGGGTGATCTCCTCCACCTTGCCCTTGATGATCTCCACCACTGCATACGGGCGGGGGACGGGGAGACATTACAGGCGCAGAAAATCCCTCAATGTAAGCGACCAGGCAGGGGGCAACACAGCAAAGCACACGATCACGAAGTAAAAGCACCTGAGCATTACGTCCAGATTAATTTTAAAAAATGAAGACGATGCAAGGTCACTCCGATCCACTGCAAGAAAGCACCAATTAAAAGTATTTCCTGGAGGCAACCCTCACTTATATTCATTAGACATTCATGCTGAATTATCACCAAGCACAAAAAGCCTTATCACAAAATCACAGCACACCTCGAAACAAAACACACCTCGCCATCCGCCTACCCACCGTGGTCGAGTTTGTTGGCCTTGACGATGGTGCGCGCGTGGTCGACGATGTTGGAGCAGTCGACGCCGATGACCTTCTTGGCTCCTGCCTTAGCGGCGAACATGGAGAGAATGCCGGTGCCGCAGCCGACGTCCAGCACAACCTTGTCCTTGAATAGGTGCCGGTTGTGGTACATCGAGTTGCGGTAGGTCAGCGTGCGCACCTCGTCCTTCAGCATCTCCTGTGGAACGGCGAGAAGGCGTCGGTCAGAACTAGGAGACGAAGGGGTTGAACATTTCTGCTGAATGGCGTTGAGTATGTTTAACAACACTAAGCTCTTCAATCGGATTAGAGAAAAGATCGACGTTTGAAGGAGTAATAGTCGTTTACAGACAAAATAAAGATAGTAAAGGGATGTAGTAAATCTAACGTCAACACCAATTTTAGCATTCTGAGGAAAATGATATTAGACGTAACATTAAGGCGGTCTTCGTTCCTTCTGATAACTATTTACTCACTTTAAAAATACGACATCGCACGCTCTACACTAACAGTAGATATGTTCCTCGTGACTGCTCTGAATTTACGCACCTCGTGGATGCCGAAGTGGGCGTACGAGTCGAAGTAGTAGTCCTTGGAGGTCATTTCGGCGCAGGAGACCGGATCTGGCTGGTGGGTGCCGTTCTTCAGCGGCGCGGCGGCCGCCGGGTCACCACAGGCCATGGCTGTGTCGGCCGCCTATGGGGAGAGGGAGGGAGGGAGGGAGGTCACACGGGGTCCGAGGATCACACGAGGAGGTGATCTAGGATAAAACTGACGGTTACAGTATTCAGCGGTCATTACACGCAGTGTGATGTTTACCATACCGTTTGAGCAGTCCCGCGTCTCTTTTGTCGCGGAGTTTCTTGTGCCGCATCACGGAGCAACAGATCACCTCAGCCCGAGCCCAGTTCATCGGTGAGTCTTTGCTGTGCAGTATCGCTTGCAGTAGACCAGGTACGATCCTTCCGGGTCTAACAAGGTTTGTCTCCCACTACGTGCCGCTTGGATCGATAGATTGACGCTTGGCACCAGTTTTGATGCTGTCCTATGCTTAACTGGACCAGTTGTAGGCATTGAAAATTGAGTGCAAGTATTACACTGGATATGTGCATGGCATATATTTGCGAAAACAACAAACATTGCATCATGAACAGCTTCATTTATGAGATAACTATGATGGAAAATGATGTCAGGCAGGCACCTTAGCTTCAGTCTGTTGGCGTCAACAAAATGGTATTAGGCTTACTGCCAACTGCTCGTTGTTACAATAACATGTCACGACTTTGGCTAAAATGACACTCAACAAAATTGAAAAATTTAGGTGTTTACACGTCACTAGTTTTGACAAGAATACGCACCCACCAGTCCCCAGCCTACCACAATCATATCGTTAGCTCGAAATTCAAAACACCCTTTAAACCCAGGTTTTACATCTCACAATCCACACTAGTCACTGGATTCTGACCCATCTGCCGCGTCGCCTCCCTCTCCGGCCGCGCAGTCGCCACCGGTCGCCCCGCCCCCCTCCGCACCGTTCTCCTCCCCGGCAGTCCCGCTCCCCTCCCCGGCCGCCCCTCGGTCCGCCGCCAGCAGGCGCGGATGCAGCGCCGCCAGTGTAATCAGAATCGCCTCCTCGGTACGGATGGTGCGCGAGCCCTGACCCGGACACGAGTTCACGTACAGGTCAAACAGGTCGGCCGGGTCATCCAGGGTTAGCTTCTCGTCATTCTCCAGCGCCGCCTCGAGGCCCTGGACGCCACCAAACACGATGAGCGCGTGTTGCGCGGCCGGCAGCTCCAGCTGGTCCAGCGGGTCACCCTTGTCCGATGTCCCCAGCAGCAGATCGTAGCCGCCCGGGTGCAGACACTGCGCGAATACGTCTGCCAGGGAGAGCGCCATTCGCACAGAGTACCCCCAGTAGGTGCCCATCTCTATTCTGGGAGTGCGCGGCGGGACGACGGTGCCGCGCCGGCCGTCCGGGTCCAGGCGCAGGGTGACACGGACTCCCGGCTCGAGGAGGCGGTCGGCGCGCACCTCGCGCGTCAGGCCGATGTTGACCAGCGAGTAGCGGCCCTTGACGGCCGGCAGGTCGGCCACGACGCCCTCCCGGAACTCGCTCTCCTCGGTACGCCGCAGGTGGTGTGGACAGTCGAGCGGGTTCAGAAGGCCGGCGAACCGCAGGTCCTCGTGCACCGGGAACAGCAGCTTGCGCAGGTACTGCGGGCACTCCATGTACTGCAGCAGCCGGGAGAGCTGCTCGCAGCACTCGGGCGCGCGCAGCTGCGAGCCCTCGGCGCCGGGCCGCAGCGCCGCCGCGCCCTGGTCGTTAAACACCACCACCTCGTCCACGCAGAAGACGGCCGCAGCGCGGGCCACCTGGCCGGCCAGGTAGGCGCGCAGCTCGCGGCTCTGGGCGTTCTCCAGGATCGAGCCGGGCACGGCCAGCGCCAGGGTGCGCGACACGCCGCGGCCGGCGCCGGGTGCCGCCGGGAACGACAGCGGCGCCGTCTGTCCGCCCCCGGCCGCCGCCGCCGCCGCGCGCTCCTTCAGCTGGCGGTGCTTCTCCACGTGTTTGAGCAGTCTGAGCTCGCGCCATTTCTTGCGCTCCTCCTTGGAGGGCCGCTGGCCAGAGTCCCGTCCGCGCCGGTGGGCCGCCTCCCCGGCGTCCGGACTGGCCGGCGCACGCACCTTGCCCATGGCACCGACAGTCGCGACGCAGCGCGTTTCACAGCCGCACAATGCGGGAACGCGACGCCTGCAACAAGACAGAGCGGCCGTCTCAGTGGCGGAGGACTCGCTGTCTCGGAGAAGGCTACCGAGCCGCGCAGGTTGCCATGGAGCTGAATCTCGACACCGTGCGCGCCGCGAACGTTACCGGTACTCGCCATCGCCACACACTCAGTTGGATCAGATTTTTTATCGATGTTCTCAAATGCACTCACGAAAACTTCTAGAAACCATTTCTCATTCCACCACATTTAGATATCTATAAGATGTCCTGATCCAATTTATATTGTACTTGACTCGCGTACAGTTTGTTGGTGCAGACTGCAGAGCAGTACAGTGTATTTTGACTGTCTTCTCACCTGCATGGCATGTCAGCAAAAACAAAAGCATACACATTGACTATAATCCCTGCCCTGATAGTCATTCCCTCTTCCCAAGGTCAGCTCAGTGCTCACCAGGTCATTGACCTCACCTAACAAAAAAGTAAATGTTTGCCATAGCTGCACATATTCAGAGAAATTGATATCAAGCTTTCAGCAATTGATTAAAGTAACAAAATGCCATTGCTGACTGGTAAGTGGTGCCAGAGGGCCACATGTCATACACATGAGTAGGTACCTACACATAGATTTTATTATTTCAATGAGACACACAGCTGGCTTTACGAAAATATCCTAGTAGCTACTCGAAAATTAAAAAAAAAGAAATAACTGCTGATAATACAAGGAGATTAGAGACTTCAGTATTATCACTTTTCACTCTTCAGAATCATCAACTTTACTGTCAGGACCTGATACTATGCAATGATAGCAGTAAAGAATGATAGCAATAGGTAGCCAAACTTGGCAGCAACATCTGTATTGCAAAACTAGAGGGCTATCCAATGCTTGTTGATCAGTTGATCAATCAGTGGCAATGAGATCTTAAATCTGTTTGAATTTTCCTGTCATGCCAAAGCATGCATGTTATGGTGCAGGTATTGTATGGAGGAACATGAGAAAATCATGGTGTGAAGTGCGAACTATGATCTTGACACAGACAACTGAAGTGCAATGCAAAATAATGCATCAAAAATTAAGCACATTTAATTTCTTAACAAAGAATTATGTGGTGTACTTACAAGTATTGGAACAAAGTGCTAGATAGATAGATAGGTAGATATTTTACTGACACTGCAGAACATGTTAAAATATGGATAAAATACATGATAGACATAACATATATTACTAAAACCTGGATTGCAGACAAAAAGTAAAAAGTGTCCCTTAAAAGAAACAAGAGCATACACTTGTCTTCAAGTCACCACTGCTGTAAAGCAACATAATAGCTTACAATATAATAATTATGTCCAAAATTTTCTAACATAGCCTTAGCTATGACATTTTTTCAGTTTGAAACATTGTGCATCCATTCTAGTATGAGGCAGAAAAATTCAGCCAGGTTTATTATTATTATTATTAGCAGCTATGAGATCAAGGAGCTACAAAGTTCAACCTGACTGGTGATACAGGATGGTGTCTATTCTACTTAGCTTCTGGCCCAACTATTCAGCAAATCTATAATTTACAATCTAGAATATATGTAGGCAGGTATGTGCCAATGCAATCCTAACAGTGGCAAAAGAAACATTTCTGAATTTAAAAAAGGAAAAGGATGATACTCATTCACCTCGCATGGAAAAACACTTAAATCATAAATGTGTTACAAATTTGTATGAGATTCTCAATTAATGTAAAAATCAAGTATTTCTTTATTGTCATGACCTTTCCTCCTTTTCAAAAATATGCTGAGTCAAAATTATATTGCTTTAGCGTTTTCAAATATATCTGCCACAGGCCTTCATCAGTGAAATAACTGAAATATCCAAAAGAACAAAAGTTCTTTTGGATATTTCACTGATGAAGGCCTGTATTTTGGCTCAGCATATTTTTGAAAAGGTGGAAAGGTCATGACAATAAAGAAATACATGATTTTTACATTAATAATAATCCTCCAACAAGCACTAAAACAGATACAACTCACGGAGATTCTCAATTAGTTAGCATTTTCCCACTCAAAACTTCAGCAATAGCAATCACGTCACTTGATTTGAAAATTGAAGGGCGATTACATTTTGATAATGCAAATTTCAATTAACACTGAAGCATATATCTAATGTGTTTGGTGATTTAGACATTATTGAATCTATTAAATAATCACAAAAATATGTTTGCAATTCTTTCTGCAGCAGATAACAATTTGAAGAGAGCACGCGGCTTAAGAAACACGTGCAGAGGCATTTACGGCGCAGAATAATGACCGAATTGATAACGCCCAGCGAAAATAAAAATATACTCACACTCATTTTTTAAGTCTCCGAAGCTTCCTGTCAGAACTGAACGGAAATACAACCCCTACAATGTTAAAATATAATAAAATAGTCTTAGCTAGCGTCCCGACACCACACCACGCCGCGCCAGAAACGACAAAGAGGACCGGCGTTGCCAAACAACGTTTAGGTAATGAGAACACATTGCAAAAATATGGTACAATGACGTCATCGGCTGTAAATAATTTCCTTTACGTAGCAGAATAAAAAAAAACGGTCACAAAGGGCAACGCTATGCTTTTCCATGTCATGCATGATGCGTGCGTTACATGTCACAAACACTTTGACTGATAGATAATCGATCCAACAAGTTTTATTAAATGCTGCGGGAGGAACGCTTCGCAAAAAGTACACTTATTCTACATTTTATTGGGAATAGGTCAAAGCACCTAGAAACGGAGACGGGAGAAGCGGCCTCGTTACATTTTTAAAAGATGGATGGAGCAAGTAACTTACCTAATATTTTTGTTTCGTCCATAGGCGGCGGAACGGGGAGGGCACCGGGGCACCGTGCTCCCCTTTGATTTTGACATTTTAACATTAGCCCTATGGGCTCCGGCTTTGCATGGAAAGAATGGGACCAAAAGTTGGCGGTGCCTCCCTCAATTGAAGATGTTCCGCCGCTACTGGTTTCGTCCCTCCGTTCCCCTCCCCTCCGGCTAGTTCACCTTCAATTAGCGGTCCAGGGCGCACGTAAGATCCCGTGTTCGGTGTTACCTAAAAGTACCAGTCGTCTCCACCACCGGCCCCTCGCGGTCGCGGCTCGTCCGCTTTAGGAAGTAATTTCTCTAAGTATAATATAGGCGGACTGGCGACGGCCGGCTCTGCTTTTGGTCTGCTGGCTGGGCGGTCGGGGGCGGTGGTCGTGCCCCCTACCTTGTAGGGAACTGGGAGGGGTGCTTAGAGATAAGCGCTTGTCGCTTCTGCACCAATCCGTGTACCTAAATGTATGACTGTGAAAATGTTTTTATAAATAAAATATGAATCAATCAATCAATCAATCAATCAATCAATCAATCCAGTAACTTGTTCGTCTCGTTCTATGGTGGTTCGCTGGTCACTCGTCCCAAACGACCACTAGCCAGTAGGCCAGTCCCTCGTCCCAGCCCACCCACGCGCACCGGTTACGGGGCACGTAACTCGTCCTAGTCCGCCTTCCAGTACCCCGGGCCCCGTCCCAACCCATGAGCCCATCGGTCACTCGTCCCAACCTGACGGGCGTGGGGCTTTAGTTGGTGACTGGGCTCAATTGACGGCTTCGGACCGCAGCCGTCAATTGAGCCCAGTCGCCAACTAAAGCCACGCCAACTAAAACGAAACCGAAGCCTTCGGTTGTCTATTTATATTTGTAGATGCATAGATACTTACCTAACTGGCCTGAAATGATGACGCTATGCCTACCTATATAGAAGTTACCACGTCAAAAAGAAGTTGCACTTCCTTGCTCAAAGCAAATGACGCTAACTAATGGTACCTACAGTACAGCACAACAGCTTTCTGAGCGGCCGGCCGAGATGCCGTGAGACTTAGCAATCATTCACTGCTGAGGCATTGTTCCATCCAGGCGCTTCAGGAGTAACAATCAGAATAGCTGGCCCGGCCCGAGGCATGCAGCCTGGCGTTCAATGAGGGCCAGAGGTCCACGGTAAACGCCGTACTACCGCTGCGAAGGACATAAGGACGGTAAAGGTCACATCAGAGGGCATCAAGTCACGCAAAAATTAAGTTAAATGCTTGCATATTTGCTCTTGAAATACCCCCTGACGTTCGGCAATGGTTGCATGGTAATCATTGCCTAATTATATCTATAAATGAGTATACCTACCCAACAGCAGACGAACTCGGTCTTGTTGCAAAATACCATGGATGATGGAACTCCGTGCTTTTCATTATTTTTCATTAAATGATTTACCATTTCCAGGACGACTGACTCCTAAAAACGAAATCAGCAAGCACCAGCAAAACATATTAAATTGAATCGATATTAATTTCCGAATGAGTTGCGCGCTTCTAAACAGTGTTGCCGTCTCGTAATACTGGTTAACTAGCTGTCGTTACGATATTGTTTCACGACTCCATCAAAGCAATTGTTTCGAGCTCCAGAGCTTATTGCTACACTCATAAGTGGATCGAGTAACTAGTGGTACCGAATTGAAATTGTCCATAAATATCAACGAGGTTTCCCATGCACTTGCGCCCAGCAAGAAGCGATTTCGAGCAACGGTGCCTTTGTGAAAGTGCAGCCGCATGCAGATAGTCGCGACATAGGAATGTGCCTATATGCCTCAGCACACCCACCAATGCGCCATTGGTCCTACTATGCGTTCCGTTGTGACCGTCCCGTCCGTGTGTTTCGTTATGACCGTTCCGTCATGTTCCGCTATGGCCGTAGTATAACCGTACCACCGTGTGTTCCATTGTGACTATGTGAGTTCCTGATGGGTGCACCGTTATAATTAGTGTGACCTTCCCTATACCTATGCGTTCTGCTGTGACTATCCCTGGTGACTATCCCTACCGTGTGTTCCGTCATGTTCCGTGACCGTCCCTGTCGTGTGTTCCGTTATGTTCCGTTGCGACCGCTGTGACTGTCCTTGCAGTTGCCGCGTGTTCCGTTCTGCCCTGGTGTGTTTTCTCGTTTGGAGTCGGGTATGTGCTAAGTGCTTACAGATTTACATATGTATCATACATAAAACTGATGTCTCTGATTGGAAACGGCACTGGACTCACGGCCTTAACTCAATGAGGACGTAGGTATCCTATAAAAAGTTAAAGGGCTTATATACCAATGGGTCAACAGTCTGCACCGCCTCCTCCCTGAACATCCCCCCCCCTCTGGTGTCCTTTGTAAGGCGCAGTTAATGACTATTGACTCACTGGACTCTGGTCTACAGCCAATCAACGCGACATTTACCGACGCAGGAAAAAGGAGGCGGGCGACGCATACAGCCAATAGCCGCGATTGCGAAGACATCGGTATTAGGTATTATTTTGTAATGAACACATATAATGTGATGAATGTACGCAGTGCAGCACGGGGATAACTGATGCGTAATTTCATTATACCTGAATGATAAACCATTTGAGATAAACACACGGGCAATGATTTGTTCGATAATCGACAAGACTGAAAATTCCTACGGAGAACGGTGATTTAAAAGATAATACCTACGATTACCTACTGCTAAAGCAGATCAAGTGAAGCCAATACGATTAACCGACGATAAGGAAAGACGATAATTACGTGTACGTCTACAAAACAGGATTTACTGCGTTGCGCAAGGTGCCAAACTAAAAACGGGGACCTCACGCATTCGTTAACAACAAGGTCACGCGTATTATTGCGGTGCTTCTATCAATGGCAAACGACTACAGACATGATTCCGTTTAGCATTCATGCTCAAAGATGACAGGTACGTTTGCAACTATCAACTAACACTCATGACCAATTGATGACCGACACAAAATAGTTAAATTATCGGCGCCGATATCGTTGTTGATCACACCGTCATCACACAGTGATGAACGAGGCACCCTCTAGCTTAGATCGATATATGCGTGGTGGCCGCGTCTCCGGGACCGGCGGGTGGCTTCATCGTGCCGAGGCCGACGGTGGCGAGCCGCGTCTGCGAGCCGAGCCCGCCGCCGCCGTCGGCGCTCTTCACCTCGCGCAGGTCGGCCTCGGCCACCCCGGTCTCCCTGCGCTGAGAGCGGCGCCAGCAGCGGCGCACGCAGCTCTCGATAAACTCGTACAGGGTGAACGCGGAGGCGCCCAGCAGCAGCCCCAGGTTACCACCGATATCCGAGACCATCTGTAACGATGTCCGGGGAAGGAAGCGGATACATTTTATTGAAACATTCGAGATGAAAATATAGCTAAATAAGCTAACTTAACATTAAATTAGCATTTACATTTAAAACTTTAAACTTTTTTGTAGTGCCATATCTACGCATTTTATCTTTTACACATTTTAAACAAGAGTTTTTATTAAATTTAACGGGCATATAGATTTGATGTGTAGGTAGGTACCGGAACTCGGCAAATAACCGTTCTCCATGAGTCATGACCATACGAGGATAAAATCTCCTCTTCCGATTGCTCTTTGTCCTTGTAAAACCACCATCACCCCTCTGCAGCTGTCTTCACCTGCTGCATGTCGTAGGCTAGCGTCGTTCTTGAGACGTACAGACCCTCGGCGATGCTGAGCGCCACCCAGGTCTCGTTCTTCTTGTGGTTGAGCCGGTCGGACAGGGCCAGCGTAATGGTCTCCTGGTAACACTGCGGGCCGCAGCGCACCTTGCACCTTGCGGCGATCCTGCAGAACGGGCGCACTGTGAGGTAGGTACCGCGGTATAATGAGACAGACGACTTGTTAGAGAATCACGGGTCCCCGGCCGTCACCTACGCATTGTATTCTTTACGTGCAAGTATTGTGTTGACTGTTGATACAATTAAATCCCATTGATAGACATACTGGCATAATACGACAAGTAAATCAGAACGTACAAATTAAAGTAAGCCTTATTTAGCTCGTAAATAACACATAATATAATATTGGCATATAAGTAAATTTGCGTGTCGCGTCTTCATGTTCGCAACTCCGATGCCAGATATGCCGAAATACCTAATGAGCTGTATCAGGTATCCCTTACGTCGGTGACACGAGACGTCGGTAGTGCTCGGTCACCCCCATCCCACTTGCCTCTTCAGCGCGGCGTAATACTCGTTGGCCCTCAGCTGCTCGGAGTTCTGGTCCCAGACGATGTGCGTGCGGGAGAACATGCGGGTATAGTTGAGCAGCAGCTGGTAGTCGCGGGCGGTGTCACAGACGGGCAGCTTCACGGGCATCCAGGGCAGGCGGCAGCCGGGCCCGAGCGCGGCTAGCTCCGAGAACAGGCACTGACGGATACACTGCCGGGGGTGGGCGGTGGGGCTCAGATTGGGGGCATATACGAGCACGGTATGGTGTGAGACCAGATACAAAGGACAGCAGGACCATGTTACGGTGTTGGCCGAGGTGTAACAAATGACAAAGTTTACGAATAACGATGATTAGTTTGTATTGCCGTGAGACTGTCTATTCTTTACCGTGTACGTTGCATTACCGATGGTCGGCCCCGCGACTCACATTGGGCCGCGAGTAGGCCGAGTCCGTGTTGCAGGGGTTGGTGTCGCTCGGCAGGGCGATGTCCAGCATCCTGGTCACCTTGAGGTTCTGCTCCTTCCCGGTCTCCAGCTGGGCGCGTGGCGGCGCCCACACGTGCTCCCAGTCTGCGGCCAGCGGAGCACGTGGCACACGGCTCAACACGCGAGTCTCGCAGTGACGTCAACATGAACGACACGGGACACAGTTCACGACTCTCTGTCGAGGACGGCGTAGAACTACGTCATTATCGTGACCGGCATTTAGTGAGCCGCTAGACGGCGACACACAAACTTTTCCAGCTATTATCGTACTTGTGTCCGCCTTCGTCCGTCAGTATTGACACTGATGGTAGCGTTAATGAATAGTTCAGCATGTTTGTAAACAGCGCAGTGGTCTATGAAAACGGTCACAGGATCGCCCTTTGGAGCGATGACAAATCCATCGGAAAGAGCATCGACAAATAAACGAATTGGTAATAAGTCCAGCATGCTTTTAAGCATTTGTCTTGCATACACTGTGCTCCTTGATAGTCATAAAGATCAAATATGTGGTAGGCACAATCCATTTAACATTTTTCACTAGATTGGCGTCGGGGAAAGCCAGCGTGTGACAATTTGTAGCCCTTCTAACTGATGAACTCCATGTTAAAAGTACCACATAATTACCCCACCGGCGGGGCGTACCCATGTAGTGGTCATTGGCCGAGTGCACATAGACGTTCCAGTGGTGCCGGCCGCAGCTGGTGCAGTTGGGGTGGTTCAGCACCAACCAGATGCCGCGCTGAACACCCTCGGCCAGCGCGTCGCTGTAGCGCACCGTGTGACACTGGCCGCCGTACTGGTACAGGTCACTCGTCACTGCCGAATGGTCTGAAGAAGGGGGGATCGTACGAGGGTGAAGGGATGTGTGAGAGAGAGCCTGTACCGCCGTTCTGGTACAGGTCACTCGTCACCGCCGAACTGTCTGCGGGGAGTGGAAGATGGTCACCAAGGAGCAAGACGGTCATCGGTTAATGATAATCTATCAATATCAACACTTTATTCATTTGCAGCGAGAAACAGTAGGCACGGACCACAGGACCAGTGCCGATGTTTTCTATCGACTGAATAGCTGAGTCGTTTAGCGACTACTCACTGCAGCCGCCATTATAGAAGTCGGCGCAGCTCATCACGATGTCGCCCCAGCTGCGAGTCATGTTCCACACGGCCTCCTCCAGGTCCACAGAGCCCCAGGGAAAGTCGGCCGTCAGCGCCTCAGTCGGGTTGACCAGCGCCTTCGGACGCGACCTGGAAGTTAAATCAGAGATTTTTATATAGTTTCGGAACCAAGTGATATCAAGTGTGCAACGATAAGACAGTGCTTAGGCCAATGCCAGTGATTGCACAATGCACATCCCTACATCCTGACCATGCAGAGTTGATAGGGATTGATATCACTGTCGCGCTTTGCGAAGAGCGGGCGGCGATCCACTGAGTGCGTAGGCTGTACCGCACTACACCCTGTACTGGTAGACTGCACCGCACGACACCGAATGCTGTTCGGCCCGAGCGAAGCAACGCGACGGCGGGGCGCCGGGCGCCGTCAGTGGTCGCCAACGGAACGGGGCTGGCTGGGCCTGGGCCGGCATAACCGGTGCTACAGTGGCCTCAGTCACATCCTTCCAGCTTATCATAATGCATGTTTGCCTCTAAACATCCAATAGGGATCTATAACGGATAAACGTTTTACGTTCGGGGCATTGCACGTCAAATCGAACAAAAATCGGCTGTTTTGCACCTTACCATCAGCGATTTCGTTATAAATTTGTGAGCGAGTTCCTGTGTCGCCCCGAACATTACATTGATGTTTTTTGCACATTCTGACCACAGGTCTTCTAAATATAGGGCATCGAATTTTTACAAAATGTTGCATCTTTATATTTTTGAACGACCATAACTTTGGTTGTACTTGTTTGATTTGAATGAAATAAACCTTACTGTTTAGGTAATTTCTTAAGCATTTGTTTAGAATTGCACCTACTTAAATATATGACCTTGAAATTTGCTTAACTCTGTTATTAAGCACAAAAATTGAAATAGCAAAAAACACGTCACCTTCGATTTGGTTAATTTTCATATATTTTATTGTCCACTATATTCTTCACAACCTGTGAAAAAATTAGAGTGGGCCATTCATAAGTTTTGAAGAAAATGGCACATATGCAAACGAATGTTAGCACGCGCAGTGGAGGGGAAAGAGTGAATTTCGCACCACCCCTCCTGTCGCCACGCCGTCCTCTGGTCTGTAGTTGCGTACAGCGACACTTGATTTGACTGACTGGCTGTGGTGCAGGGTGAGGAGAAAGTGGATTTTGGTAGAGGATGGGAAGGAATGCGGTAGCCGCCGAGTGACCACAGCCCCTCGATGGCGAGGCTGCTGTGGTCAGACGGATCTGAGATGCTCCGGGATCTCGATGGCGAGATTGACCGAAACCGACTGGCCGCCCCAGGAACGAGGAGGCCACGAGTGTTGTATCCCGATGGCGAGACACGTCACTCGCGGTCAGCTTCGATGACTCGATGGCGAGACACCGCAGCCGCCTCCCTCCACACCCTCAATGAGAAAAGGAGAGAGAAAGTAGTGGGCCCAGGACATAAAGACAGGTATCAGGAGCAGCCACGATTAGCACTGCTTGCACCGTCTTCCGCCACTTATGTCACCGCCCACCACACAAAGATGCACTTAGTAGGACGCTGTATTTGTTCTTTACCGTCCTCACCGCACGAGTCACAGACAGAGAGTGGGCCGGCGCAGCGAGCACCGGCCCCAGGTCACCTCGTTCCTCCCTCGCGGCACACGCCGGCGGCGGCCAATCACGACAGCGGGCCCTCACGTGACCCGAGCCGGGCCTCGCCTCGAGCGGGACCACCGGACGCACGTGGCCACCACATGGCTCGGCCGTAACCGGGCGGAGGGCGGCCGTCGGCCACTACATACTCCCCCACCGTGTTGCGCCTCGCAGCAACACTACACAATGCTCAGCCGACGCGCCAATGCTACATATAGACATTATACATTCTCACGTTCGCGACCTTTAGAACATAAATGTGTCTTCACAGTTACCAAAGTCGTTGTTACAAACATACAAGACATATAAATACCGCTGCCAGCTAACTTGCTTTAGCGATGGCTCAAACATTCACCTCACATATCAAACACTGTACGATTGCTCACCGCACAGCGCGCCTCGCGAATGATCCTCAGCCACCAGGCAGCCCAGCTCCCGCGATCAACGGCACTCTTCCTCCAGGAAGCAGATCTTTGCTGCTGGTCTGGTGTACGTCTTTCCGCAGGAGGTCCGTAGCGCGGCTGACCGGACTCTTCCGTCCTTACCCGGGAAGACCTGAACGATCCTGGCCAGAGGCCATGCTCCTCTGGGCAGATCGGACTCAGCCATGAGGACCAGGTCCCCCACTTGAAGGCTTCTTCTTTCCTGGCGCCACTTGCTCCGCTGTGTCAAAGTCGGTATGTATTCTCGAGTCCACCTTTTCCAAACGTGTTTAGCCACAGCTTGCGACTGTCTCCACCTCCGACGGCTGCACATGTCGTTGTCTCTTGTCAGGACTGGTGCCAGGTGTGGGGAAGCACGACCAAGCAGGAAGTGGTTAGGAGACAATGCTTCGGGATCAGATGGATCGGAGCTCACATAGGTAAGTGGGCGGCTGTTTATCATGTGTTCGACCCCCGCGAACACAGTCAGGAGAACTTCATCGGTCAGCAGCTGAGATCCGACGACTGCCTGCAGGCACGTCTTGACCGACCTCACCATCCTTTCCCAAACACCACCCATGTGGCTGGCCGTTGGTGGATTGAACCTCCAGTCAATCTCGAAGGCGCTCAGGCGCTCAGGCATCTGCGCTAGCAGCACCTTCAGCTCTTCGCGTAGTTCACGGTTGCTGCCGATAAAGCTGGTACCGCGGTCCGAGAAAATAACCGCTGGCTGGGATCTGCGAGAGAAGAAGCGTCTGAGGGCCATGATGCAGCTGTCCACTTCCAGCGAATGTGTCACCTCCAGATGAACAGCGCGGGTCGCCAAGCACGTTAGCAGCAGTCCGTATCGCTTCTCAGTTCTTCGGAACCGCTTTACTCGCAGTGGTCCAAAGTAGTCCACACCCACGTTCTTGAACGGATGATCGGCTTCAAGTCTCTGAGCGGGAAGGTCAGCCATCCTTGGTGGCGCCGGAGCAGCTCTGCGTCGATGACAATAGAGGCAACTGCGGAGCTGCTTCTTCACCTCTGCGCGTCCTTGGGGAATCCAGAACTTCTGCCGTACTTCATTCAGCGTGTGTTCCGTCCCCGCATGACCATGACGGACATGCTCTTGCATGATGATGAGCCTGGCGAGCTCGCTTTTCCTCGGCAGGATGATCGGATGTCGGGACTCCTCGGGAATAGATGCCTTCCCGATGCGTCCTCCAACACGGACCAGGCCATTGCTGTCGCAGATCGGTGTCAGCGAATGCAGAGGACTGGAAGTCTGGATCGGCCGTCGCTGTTCCAGACATCGGAGTTCTTCCCCGTGCGTCGTGAGCTGCTCTTGTCTGATGATCCAGACTTCGGCCTCCACCATCTCAGAGCGTGATAGTGGACCTGATAATGGAGGTTGTTGGCCGGGCAAGAACGCCTTCAGGTTGTGCACAAAACGCTTGATCCAGCCGACAACTCGCTTGTACTTGATCCACGATGAATACTTCGCTGGGTCCGGTTCTTCTGGTCGCGTTGATGCGGCGATGACATTCACTGACGTCGCCTGTTTTTGTTCTTCTTCGTTGTCTGCCAGTTCTGGATGCTTTTCCAGTTTCCTCTCTGTTGATGTTAGCCGGTAGTACGCCTGTCTTGAGTTGTCGGGGAACGTCGGATTTTCCTCACTCCACAGCAAGCAGGTTTCGTATCTCTCCCCGACCTTTTTGGTCTCTTGATCCAGAAGAGCCAATGCACGGAGATCTTCTTGAGATCTTGCGTCCTTGACGTTGATCTTTGTGTCAAAGGCTTCAGTGGTCCACCACTCCTGAACCAGCTCACTCAGGTTCTCTTCATCCGTTGACTGTTTGCGTACAAACATGACGTGTCGCGTACTACAGGGTACCAGTGCCGATACAGATCCAGTCAGGGTCCAACCGAAATCTGTCCTCACTGCGACCGGTTGGCTGGTACCTCCCACTCTGATCTCCCGTTGCAGGACAGCTTCCAGTATGTTGGCCCCGAGCAGCAGCTCGACACGTGCACCACTGTACTGAGGAAAGTCGAGACCCTGCAGATGCTTCCAGCTGGAGGTCTGTAGTCGGCTGATGCTGGGTGGAGTAACATTCAATCCTGGCACAGACCAAACTTCCGGGATTACGATGTGGCCCTCTTTGGCATCGGCAGAAATAGGGCTGACTGTCAACGGAACACGGATGGATGACTGTCTCTGTCCGCTTCCTTCGACGTTCTGAAGTCTGAGCTCTTCACGCTCCCCCTTCACACCGATTTCTTGCAGCACCTTCTCACAGCAGAGTGACGTTTGCGCCCCCGGATCCAGAAGAGCGACAACATCCTTGTCACCGTTCGGGCCGTGGACTCTGACAGGAACCAGTTGTAGAAGCGTGTCTGTGGCTTCCGTCATGGCTGCACCAACGATCGGATCTTCTCTGTTCAGGCGATTCTCTGTTCTGCCGCTGCTCTCCCCGCCCCCTGAATCACCTCTGGGCGTATGTAGAAACTTGTGATGTGTCGCCCTGCATCCATCTGTGCCACAGCGCTTGGCAGATCTACACGATCTGACGAAGTGCCCCTTCCTGAGACAGGCCCAGCACAGTCGCTCCCGTCTCACAGTCACGAGCTTTTCCTCCAGCGCCTGGGCTTGAAAATCAGGACAGTTTTCCAGTTTGTGCTCCCCTTCGCAGACGACGCAAGGCCTGAGCCTATGGCTTTCCTCACGCGGTGAGGATGCGGAAGTGGCCAATGTCGTCCGCCTCGTCATGGTCTCTTTCGGAGTCACCACAGTCTTCCTCTTTTCGGGGTCACGGCTCGGGCGAGTGGTGTAGCTCAACACGTTCACCTGGATCTTCAGCCACTCGCTAAACATCTCCAGATTGGGCTGGTTTGGTCGCATCCTGTAGACTTCTTGGCCCCACTGATAAGTCAGCTCGTCAGGGAGCTTGACAATCACTCTGCGGAGGGTGTCGCTTGCCCCCAGATCATGATAGTAGCCCAGGGCTCGCAGAGTCATAACCGTGTTGCTGATGGCGGAGCTGAACCTCTCCAT